CAACCAGTGGCAGTGGCTCTCGCACTGAATCATGTCGAAGTACCTTGACTGTTAACAGTGATGGCACAACCAATCTTCGATCAGTTTTCGGCTATAATAAGAAAGAGTAAAATGATTTTATAGAACTTGTTCAAAAAATTAATGAAGGCTGTTCATCACATGTCGCTGTATTGGAACGAGTATATCTGCCATTGTATCACACTACTGTTTTAGACAAGGTATTTATACCACTTAAATTTAAGAAAGAATGAGTAGAACGTAAACCACGTTTTCTGTAAAGTACACGAACCATCCTAACCTCATTTGCCAACTGCTTTCCAGGCATCATCTGTAAAAAATCTCTTCAGTTTTTCTCATGTGAAATTTTTCAGCTAAAACCGCGGCACCCAAAAAATATCTCTCACCTTGCCTAAAAAATTTTCAAAAGAAATTTTCAAATTTTCACAACTTTGCCTATTTCTGCTCGTAGGTCCAGCCAAGCCCTTATGGTCATTGGCCCCCGCAATAGCCGTTAACAACGGCTTATAAATTTAGGCGTTTAGTGTTAACTTGTAAACCTCCCTGAAGAAGTTTACGACAGTTGGACAAACCGCGTCTGAGAATAAAAAAGTTTTACAACTACTGTTCGCACAGCGCTGCCCACTAGTTTAGTTTTAAATTTTTTTAAACATTGTTTAAAAAATTATTAAAAAATTATTGAAAAAAATATTAATAAACGTTTGAGTCGGAGCTATTCCTGTCAGTGGTGAAATACAGGAATGGCTCCAGTCTCTGGTCGTTCGCCTGAACTGACTAAATGAGTTTAGTCAGCGGAGCTAGTCAGCAGATGACTTTTTCATCGCCGGAATATCGTCGAAAGACCTCTCTGAACAAGAAAGGCTACCTTCCCTTCGCTACACGTGAGTAACCATTTCTTGTTTGACACATCGGTGTTTTCACTCGCATTGATACTTCATTGTTCCGCTTCGAGACACGCGGTTAACAATACTCACGAGCAAGGAGTTAAGATATAACTTATTAACTTTTACTACTACATCCAATTACAGGTCGGAGCCACTCATGTATTAAGTCGCTAGTGCAATCGTATCGAGCCGCCATGTTTGTTTTGCACGTTGACTCTTTTGAAGCTCGCGCTATGTTCGCACTCAGATCTTGCGCGGTCAAAAGCCCTATGGAGCTTCCTTAAGTCTTCCATGGTGATCTTCTTTAATCAACAGGAATCACTGTGAATATTTCCTCATAGCACTCTCATCAATTCCATTTGATACGACCAGACCTGAAGTAATCTTAATTTCCAGCCAATCAGAATAAAGACCATACGTCATAGAGCTTTAACAGCCCTTGACTTAAAGTGCTGCATGGGTGGAAAATTGCAATCAATCATTCAATTCAAGATTTGTTTGCTAAGTTTCTAGATCAGAACAGACAGGGTTGAGTGAATTAATCACTCTGCTGAGAGCCAATCAGGTTACAAGGATCACCTGAGTCCAGTAATCTTAAAATGGATGCAATAAAGTAATCAAAAGATAGCTTTAGATGCTTAATCTAAACTTTCTGGCCCCTAGAAAAACCTTTACTTCTATTGTGAATGTTGTTCAATTGAAATGTGCACAATATGTTTATTTAATGATGCATTGCAAACAACAAATCTTTAAAAGTCTTTGTGAAGATTTTTGAAAGCTTCATGATGTTGTATTTTTTAATTATTGGTGTTTATATTCAGCATTAATTATATAGAGCTCAGTAATCCTGTTAAAATTACATGAGATTTAATAATATAAATTTTCTTTGAATATATTTGACTAACTATTTCATAGGGTTTTTGTACAATATGGTAAACAGTATCACTTTTTCCTAGACACCCACACTTTAGAATTGTGTTTTTGCATGTTGAGTGATTGATTGTTTGTGATTAAACTTTTGTGCTTAGACATGCAAAGCTTGGTACAGTTTAAATTTTTAAAAATAATCATAAAATTTCCAAAACTTTTATGTACAAAATCATGTAGATCATGAAAAATGTTTTTTTTAGTTCACTTTCATCTACACTATCTTCTTTGATCTTCTGTGATACAACAAATTACATGAACTGCTTTTTACTTCCAATAACAACTCATTGATTTCAACAAGCCAATTATTCTAGGGCTTTCTGTGTTTTGATATTGTTCAGGACAGGATTACTGACTCCCTTTTACAGATTGCACAAGGAAACATTTAACTCAGTAAACACATTATCTTTCTGTTACTGAGTCTAAATAAAAAGCAATCTTTGTAAAGAAAACTTTGGTTGTCCAGCATAGTACCCTTACTTTGTTACAGGCAGAATGCTTAAAGAATTTTGTTCAAGTAATACTGGTATGTCAAATGCTTTCATCTTGGTCCAATGAAGAATTGAAGATTGTACTCTTCAAAAGAACAGAAGGATCATTTGGGCATTGTAATCTGAAAGTCAAATATCTTGAATATTCCTCAACATATGAAAAGTTAAATAGTCCCTAATTTTTTAGTATTGCATATGTCTTCTATGAAAAAATAGTCTAGAAAACATAATTTATCAATTACAGCCTAAGAAAATATAACTTTACAAAGATATTAATTGAAAATAGTTTACTGCAAACTAAACAAGTCACAGATAGAATCTCTGAAATCTGCATGCTATGCAGCAGTCTATAATATTAAAATAATTTCTGTTCCTGACTAAGCGTGACAAATTTTTCTGAACATCATAGCTCTGTTAAGTTTTTGGTGTGTTAATCAGTTGATCATCTTTTTTGAAAGGATTTTAAGATAAAGATAATGAATTATAATGTAGATTATGGGAATTAAACCCCAATTGATATTTATAATTTTAAATATGAGAATATGTGTATAAATGATTATTGCAAGTCTGGTCTTAAATTTGTGTTTCAATAGAATTGCCATACACCTCCTGCACAGGTTTGTGTCTGTTTTATTACCCCCTGGAGTCTGGATAATTTTCATTCTTTTCCAGTTAATTCTTTCATAAAGTTTAGCTTTAAAGAGACCCCCACTCTCCCCCCCTTCTTTCCATATGAACTTTCAATGACCCTCTCACCATCAGAGTGGTGTGCATATTTTTTGCAAAAATCTGCACAGATTTGAAATTCCTGGTACCCTTCAAAAGCAATGCTAGCGATGGATTCTTTAATTATTTTATAATTTTGTTTGATTTTGGCAGAAGATCTTTCCTGTGGCTTAAAGTCATACTTCAATGCATTTTTTATCACAGACTAAAATCTTTTTTTTAAATTCAATATTATAAATCATGGTTGTTATAAATAACTGAACAATTTTTTTCAGATGATCTGGATGATTATAAATGTTGCACTCTTTGCCTCAACATACATGAAATATGGCACAACAAAAGAGTATCATTATTTGAGGATTATTGTCAAGGTACTGTTCTATTTTGTTTATTGATTTTTCTGACCGACAGATTTTAAGATGTCTAGGCAGGATGTTGCTTGCTGCTGTTTCATTCAGTCACAAAGTGAACCTTGGGTTCGACTTTCAAACTCCAAACTGAACATATGACAATTTAATTAGTCTCTCTAGGATCAACAGGCAATTTGATTTTGGTATAACAAAATAACTTTTTTAAGAGCCATTTCACAATTATTAATTCCTTTTTTTGATATATTTATAAATAAGTTAATTTTTGCATCAAATTTGCATTTAGCAAACAGGTTAATGAGAAAAATCAACATTGGAAACTCTTAACAATGGTCAATTTAGAATACAGGACATTTCGCACAAAAGACTTTTCGCACAAGTCTTTTAGCACAAGTTTTGGACCGTTCGCACAATTCTTAGTGGTCATTTCGCACAATAATTATAGGTTAGAAACATCAGTATAAAAGGTAAACTAATCGATACCGATTAGACATATCACCTTCACATGTCACTTTCGATAAGATCCAACGGCGAGAACGTAGACATTTATTTACGTAATAACTTCAACTAGATCGAAACGCTTGTGAACACACGATCACTATTTCTTACTTGAAGAAAGGAACAAATCTTTCTCTCTAAGAAAATGTAAAGAACTCCCTAATCGAACGATTACTTCTATTACTTTTCCTTTGCTAAACGAAAAACCTTTTAGTTTTGACAGTACACCATCCCCTACAAACATACGAACATGACGACACGACGCTTATAAAGGACGCCATGTTGATTTCGAAAGTAATTGTCACCAATTCTCCCTCCTCTGAAGTCAAAGTAAAAACTTGCAAACTGTTTCACTTTTTATTTAAAAGGACAAAAGACCTATTTACAAAATATCTGTGTAAATATATAAAATTCAAGTTCACGGCCATGTTGCCCGACGAATCATGCATATTTAACTCGCTACTCGGTCAAGACTCATAGAAATTTAGACCTTTCCCACATTCATTTAAGCTATAGTACATATTTATATCTATAGTACATAGATTTCTTTATTTGTTTTGATATTAAGCTTATATGATTACTTATCGAACGGCTAGCGTATAATCTTTGAATTATTTTGAATTCTTGAAACTTTCGTGAAATCATTTATTAACATCACGGTCGCTATGACGCTTATCGATCGATACTGAACTCTCCATCGCTTAAGCAATTGTCATTAGAATAATTTGAAAGGTTACTACTTGATAGATGTATTAAACTTTATGATCTTTACAAAGATTACAGATCGAACTTGTCTTTCTACAAGATCATTAGTTTCTACCTACATTGACACGTTCAAGTTGTCAAATCCCAACATTTGCACATGCCGACATTCGATGTGAAGCACTCTCTGAATATCGAGTTATTAACGTTGAACTGTTTTTTCTGGACGTATTACCAGTATGCCTAATTTTCATTATGTAACGAAGATATAAGAAGCAAGTTTTTCTATAGCTTTATTTGAGACTCTCACAGATCGATAAAACATGCTGTTTGAAGGCGATCGAACACGGAGGGAAGACTAGTGACAAGTACTTTCGAAATCAACATGGCGTCCTCAGCATGGGTCGTCATATTTGCACGTTTGTAGTGGATGATACTGTCAAAACAAAAAGGTTTTTCGTTCAACAAAGGAAAATTTATGGATTTAGTCGTTCGAATAGGGGAATTCTTTACATTTTCATAGAGAGAGATTTGTACCTTTCCTTTCTTCAAGTAAGAATAATGATCGTGTTCACGAGCATTTCGATCTATTTGAAGTTATTACGCAAATAAATGTTTACGTTCTCGCCGTTGGATCTTGTGAAGGTGAAATGTCTTATCAGTATCAATCAGTATAACTCTTATACTGATGCTTTTCACTTATAATTATTGTGCGAAATGACCACTAAAATTGTGCGAACGGTCCAGAACTTGTGCAAAAAGACTTGTGCAAAGAGACTTGTGCGAAATGTCCGGTTATTATCCACTAAGTTAAAATAAAAACCAAGTATCTCAATTTTAAATAATTATGATTTTTTTGTTCTTAGGGTGGACTACCTTTTGCTCGAGGTGCTGCAATGGTGTTGAACTTCAACTGCATGTTAATCCTGCTATTCATGTGCCGTAATATCATCTCTCTTCTCAGAAGTAATCTCGATGTATGTTGTTTACTAGATAATAATGCAATCCAAATTTTTGTGTTTATTCTCAGGTTAACCTTAAACTCCTAAGATCTCATTAGTAATTCTCCTTACTGTCTGCTTTACAATTCTTTTGGTGTTACCTCTGAGAATTTGTTAATGGATACTTTTCTTGGTTCTCATCACTTGTCTCCTTGATTTTGTATTGATATTGTAAGGAGAAATTCTGTCTTTGTCACTCATGGGAGTTAAGGGGTTAAGCTTTGCTGCTATGTGATTGGTCAGTTTTATGTGCTATTAGTCTTACCGTTGAGTTTATGTGTCATGTTTGACTTATCTTGTTTGTCCAAGAAATCTGAGTCAGTCTTGACTTCAGTTCTACAATTCTTATGATGTATATATTTCTGTTCTGTCAGAGTATTTTGTATTGGATCAACTTATAATCAATCTAATTGATATTTCTCTTTTTTATCTAACTGTGCAAAGTAGAGTACAAATAATACTGAAATAGAGTATAAATATCCTACCATATTGTGCAGTGGTTATTTTGTACTGTAAAAAAAACTGTTTCACTGGTGAGCTGAGCAGGCCAAGCTTCCCTCTTCACTTTACTTTTCCCAACTTGTGAAAAATGAGCAGAAACACTTGGCAGGAAAAGAAGCAATTGGATAATTAATGACTTATTAGAAGTTTTGGTGTGTATAAAGTATTGCTTGGTATTTTTAATCAACGTTTCTATTTTGACAGGTCCTGCAGGCTCATCAAAATATGGCCCAACTTGTAAAATACTCAGTGACTCTACACACCAAAACATATTAACCCTTTCACTCCCACAAGTGACCAAGACAGAATTTCTCCTTACAGTGTCAATACAATATCAAGCAGGCAGGTGATGAGAATAGAGGAGAATATCAATCATTGGATTATTAGTTGATCCAATACCAAATTCTCTGAACTAACATCATAAGAATTGTATGGCAGATAGTAAGGAGAATTACTAATTAGATCTTGGGAGTGAAAGGGTTAAGATATATTTATTCTCATTACTTGTCTACTTGATACTGTGTTGACATTTTAAGGAAGATTATTCTGTCTTGGTTACTCATGGGAGTTAAAGCATAAACAGAATTCTCATTTTCCTAGTGTGGTTGGTGTGGAAGTATCATTAGCCTTTTGGACAAGAATATAACTTTCCATAAGTACTGTGCTTACACAATCTGCTTTTTCACTGGTGAGTGAATTGTGTGATAACAAATCCTTTATCCAGAGGATATTCATGGGATATTTATGTGTAATGACTATAGATTGAATATGTTGGCAAATATTGACAGAGATTAATCATAACTTCCTTATGTGGTGTAGTTTCTTGTCAGGGGTATTTTCCCCAGAGCTGGTATATTCTATGTTCATTGTGATAATCAAGTCCAATTGCTTTGGTTTTCATTAGTTTTTATCAAAACTCAGTTGAAGAGCACTTCTAAATTGCATCTAGTTACTTCATTGCTAAAAGTCAATGAAACTGAAAGCAAGAATAACTGGAAGAGAATTGTTTTATGGAAGAGAATATTATTGTAAATGATGATGCCTTCTCTTTCATTAAAAAATTGATTAAAATATTTTTGCTTAATTTGTTTCTTGTTTACAGTGGTTCACATATGTGGCCAATGTTTCAACTTGACAAACCTTGTTGAGAGCCAATCAAAGCCGGACACAGAGATTGAAAAGCATCTGAGTCAGTTGGATGACCCTTGGCTAAATCCTATCAGAGAATCTGGAGTTGTAAGTTGAAAGCAATTATTTGATATTGAAATCTGCAACTTATTGGAGATAATGAATTTTTTGAAATGAAATTATGGCTGTATCATGTAAGGCAAAGGTATGATTGAGCTTTAATCCGTTAATCCCAAAATAAATTTAGTAATTCTCCTGACTGGCTGCTTTACATTCCCTTGTAAATAAGACAGGAGAATTTGATGTTTTGTCAAGGTAGCACCCTATGATGAGCTTGTCTGTTCTCATAACTTGTTTGCAAGATAACGTATTTGAATTGCAATGAGAAGTTACATCTAATATGGGAATCACTTTGATCAATTAACATAATATATGATTAATACATTAATTGTTTTCATTTGTTATTTGACAAAAGCAAGTTGAATTATTTCAGTATTTTTTTTATCTCAATAACTGTAATAAGGTATGTTTTGAGGGTATTGTTTTTTTTATCCATAGGATCCTGTATCAGGGTTGTTTCAGACAGGTATGAGAAAATGCTAGTTGTTAGATTAATTTACTAATCAGATTGAAATAAAAAAAAAAGAAAAACAGTCTGACAGTATTGGGCACTTGAAAATAATGTTTTCCTTTTTAATGCAGTGGCTGGGATTACAGGTGTGGTGATGACATTGTCATTAATTCTCATGATGTCATCAGCAACTGAATTGATAAGGTTTGCTTTTGATTATTTAAAATTGACTTTTTTTAAGCTTTTTGAGAATTTTTGTATTGATGAAGGAGCAGTTTTTTTTAAACTCAGCTTTTTATATTGTGCATCAATCTGTTGTGTGGGCCTATATAGACATGGATTTTCCCCTTAAGAGCAGCTGTGGTTTACTTCTGATCAGATATATTGATTCAAAAATTTATGTCACATCAATTGAAGTCTTTACAAAAAGTTCTGTTGCGTTATCATTAAAAATTCAAATTCTTTCTAATAAAGTAAACAGGAAGTGTCACTGTTTGATGTGGTGTTTATATTCTTCTATGCAGGAGATCCTACTTTGAGACTTTTTGGTTCACTCACCATTTGTTTGTTGTCTTCTTTGGCTGCCTTGTTGTGCATGGCACTGGGTAATTACTCATTTTATTGTGTCAGTAATTATATAATCAATGAAAAATTTAAGGAATTAATATCAGATATGAAATAATCTTAACATTTTCTGCGCTTTGAAAAAATCAAAATTGTCCACCTACTATCAGCGTTAAAATTTATTAAGTAGATGGCTCTTGTTTTCTCAAGACACTCTGTTCCAGTTATGATATAGAAAGTAATTCCTGTATGTAATTACCCAGTGCTAAGCACTGGGTAGTTACTAATTTTATTGCTGGTAGCAATTATATAATTAATGAAAAATTTAAGGAATTATTATCAGATCTGAAGTAATCTTAACATTTTCTGAGATTTTAAAACCTCAAAATTGTCTACCTACCAGTAGCTTTAAAATTTATTAAGTAGATGGCTCTTGTTTGCTCAAGACACTCTGTTCCAGTTATGATTTAGAAAGTAATTCCTGTATGGGAAGCTTCAAATTTTGTTGTCTTCCTTATTAAATCCTTCAAATGTGTTGGCCTCCATCAAATAGATGGTTAAAGAGTAAAAGGAGGTCTCTGTTAATTGCTAGTTATTCAGTTAAGTGAGGAAAATGTTGTAAAAGATTATGATAGTGCCCCTAGTTTCCCTTTAAAAAATTTAAAAGGGGCCTTTGGGAGGGGAGGGGGGGGAGTGAGTTTTATGAACCAAGTAAGGTGTTACAGCCAGAAGCTCATCTCAAGTTCTGTATTATCAACTGACTCCGAGTATCACTCACCCTTCCTGGATGGGATGCTATTTCAGAGAAATTAAACACCCCCCACTGCACTACTCATTTATACCCTTGCTTATAAGGCAAGAGGCACTGTAAAAGTAGAATGCTAATTCCTTAAGAACACAACACCATGGCATAGTCATGGCTTAAACTCTAACTCTTACTTTTTATCCTGCTCATTGGACTAAAAGAACAGAGATGCTAATTGTGAATAATATCTACAGGAATTTTTAGGAGACTCCCCTTTGATGGTTTAGAGATTTGACTGAAATCTTTTTCTTATTCAATTAATTAGTGAGCCTTTTTAGTATGTATAGTTCTCATGAATCACTTGAACTTTTTTTTGTAGGGATCTTCTGCGTTATCAAACTAACATGGATGAGCATGATCCAGAGATCTGTGATAATGTAAATTATTGGAAAAATCATTCAACCAGCTGCTACAAATTCAGACCACAGCTAAAAGCATCTGGAACAATGGTACCATTACTTCCTTTTTAAAACTATTTACCTCATAATCGACACCCTCTACATGAAGCTTAAAAACAGCAATCTGCTCTCTTTAACTATATTTAATGAATCCACATAATCTGACTGGTACTCAAGACAATGGCCAATTTGTGATGCTGAACTGATTATAAGTTTGTGATAATGGACAATTTTGAATTTGTTTAGACTTGGAAGTTTGTGATTTTCCCCATGATCCTGTATGGTGCTGAACGGTTATTCAGAATATACAGATCATTTCAGCAGGTGACAATTCTTAAGGTGAGATCATATGTCAAAGAATGTAATTTTATTTTTGATGATTACTTTTAGCACCCATTCAATTCATTTGAACTATTTACCATTTGACTCATGTCTAATGAATAAATGTAAAATGCTCAACTATATCGGGTGTACAACATCATGCATTTAATGAAAAATGAAATTGAAAGTTAGAGTTGTAATGTGTCCAACAATAAGTAGTAAGGATTCTTGATATATAGTTATAACTTTTCTACTATCGTTTAGTATCCATTCTTTTTTGAAGATATATTCTCTTCTAAATAATTTCTTATTTTGTTAGGTAATAAAACATCCATCTAGGGTGCTTGAAATTCAGATGAAGAAGGATGGATTTAGATGTGAAGCAGGACAGGTAAAAGATGCCATTTGAACTTATTATGAACAACTTGATTTGACTTAATGAGTTTCTTCTGAACCAGCCTTTGATTCTACTAACTCTGTAGTGAATGAGCTATATTTAATGCCCTACTTATTTCTGTTCTAGTACATTTTTCTGAAGTGTCCTAAGATCTCACATCTGGAATGGCATCCTTTTACTTTAACATCTGTAAGTATGAATTTACAGAACTTGATTGCTTTTTCAAGAACTTTAATTAAGTGATTGTGTACAGTCACAAAGGATTGTATTTTTTTTGTCTCACTGCACTCTGAGATTGGTCAGAAAGAAAAATTTGCTTTTGTCTCTACCAGTCTGATACACAATTTTTCATGTTAATCTGAAATCAACTCATTATGGTTTAACTCTCCTTCACTTGAGTCCATTTGCATGCAATTTCTTTGGTTTCCCTGCTCGTATATCATTTGACAGTTGATCATTGAAAATAATCATGAGGAATTTGTTGTGACAGGACTGTTAACAGTGGTATGGCTACTGACCTTGTGGCAACCTCAGAGGGTTTCATTGTCAGATTCAAGTGAATGACAATGATTCTGGCTTCAAATAATAAGTTTGACTCATTCACTGACAACCATTTTTTGTGGAACTTGTCCTTGACAGTCATATTTATCATTTTTTATTGGTTATTAATGTACTCTCAAGAGTCTAAATGCATGCATACATGTGTGACATTCTTTTGTTACTCAGTGATGAGGTTTAAAATATATTTTTTTTAAGTTTAGAGTCAGGTTTTCATGAAATAACATCTCTTTTCTAGGCCCCTGAGGAGTCCTACTTCAGTGTTCATATCAGAAATGCTGGTGATTGGACAGGTAGATACAATTAAAATAGAACCTTTATCTTTTAGTTAGAATGCATGAAAAGGCATTGCACAGAATGTTTTCTTCCACATACAAAATAAATCTCCCAATCTCTTGTAATAAATATGTATTTTGGCAACTTCAGGTTTTACTTTCTCCACCAAATAATAATCTTGATGGAGATATTAGATATAATCTAAAATTGGACACCTTTCCAGACTTCAGATTTCCAAAGGTTGGCATCTTTGGGTTAGTTTACAAATTTAATGTCAGTAATCATTTTTACTTTCTTGTACACTTTTCTTTATTTATACTGTGCTTCTTTTAATTGACATTTGTGTATTATTTAGACAGTCTACACAGAGAGTTTGGAGCAAATGACAGTGGAATGAAAGATATAAGCTCCTGTCCAAGGTTATGAATGCAACTTTTTTTTTTAAGTATTTGAATCTTAAATTTGACAGTGTGCATACTTTCTATATGCATTAATACTTGATGATAGGTTGGCATGAGATCTGATCTTTTTAGGATCCTTACTGTTAGTTGATTTATGATTTTTCTCGCCCTGGCACCAAACTTAAGTAATTAACCCTTTGAACACTTAAGAGTGACTCTAATTCATCCTGAATCAAACATTAAGGTCGCTAGCAAAAGGAAGATATCACCAATTATAGACTGAAGCTTTTGATTGTTAATTAAACAAATTCTCCTCATCAACACCTGAGGAAATGTATAGAGAACAGTATGAAAAATATGCAAACTGATGTCAGGGTGTTAAGGGTTAAGAGCCAAAGTTTTCTCAAAGAGGGACCATACTGAAGAATCTGTTTGATATTTTCTTCCTCTAGTTTGGCTGTTGATGGCCCTTTTGGAACATCAAGCACTGTAAGAGGCTCTAATTTCTTGTTATGTTGGTTATAGCAGAGGTAGATCCAGGCTATTTCTTAGAATGAGGTGTACCTTTGAGGAATGATGCTGAATACAAGGAAGGGGGAGAACCTCTTGTACCCTTTCAGTAGATTCATGCACCCCTGCAGAAGGAATGGCTGCCATCTGAACACATTGAACAATATTTTTTCACCTTTTCACTTTTTTTTTCATAACAGCTGTCATTTATTTGAGATATAATTGTATGCTTGTCTCCCTGTTTATATTATTATTTTTGGATTTGTTTAGGATGTGTTTAAATATGATGTCGTAATGTGTATTGGGGCTGGTATTGGAGTAACTCCCTTTGCATCAATATTGAAATCAGTATGGTAAGTACCTTTTTAATGGTGAAAGATTTTATACCCTTTGTTATTCTCTGATTCAGCTGATAAATTTTGTCCAACTCTCAATGCATCTTAGTTTAATTACATCCTCTCTTGGTTTTGTTCAGTCTTTTCTGTTTTCTGTTTCTGTTTATCATTCAATTGTATAACTACTCTTTTCATTCAAAAACAGTAATGGTCATCTTTTGTTTTACATAAAGTATGCATTCTTTGACTATGGATATAGTTATTTAACAGTGACTGTTAAAATTAAATTTAGTCTCTTCTTGCTACAGGTATCGTCAAAACAAAGGTCATTCTGACCTTAAGATCAAGAAGATATATTTTTTCTGGATCTGCAGAGATGAAAAGGCCTTTGAATGGTTCAGAGACCTTTTAAGGCATTTGGAAATTCAGGTAAAGAAAACTTAAATAACTTAAATCACTCCTGTCATATAGATGACTATACATGCTTGTGAAACTTAGATTATTCAAAACATTTGGAGTTAGAAGATCTCCTTTGAGGTAAATTACAAAATGCATACTCCTTCACCTTAAATTTCAGATGGAAGAAATGAATAGGAAGAACTTTGTGGAACATCACATATATCTCACAGGATGGGATACTAACTTGGTAAGACAACTTTAAATAAATGAGCAGGCTTGAAATATGTATTGTAATTATTATTTAAACTAGGGTTTGGTATTTAGTTGATATAAATTATCTTTGCTATTTCGTGCTTTGAAAATTTTGTTAAGGGGAAGGTAGAGTCTAAGGAATATGTTAATCTGTTTTTGCCAGGTATATTTTTGCAACTAGAAGAATGGACTTAGTTGAGGTTTAATGTTAATCTTATGCTGCTGGGCTTATTCAGGTCTTTTTCTAGGCAAATACAACTTATGGAGTCTATGGCATCCTCCCTCCTAGTGATTTACACTTTATTTACATGATATACACTTTGCATCATTTTCTTTCCCTCCCCATAGGGCCCAAAAAAAGATTGAGATGTAATATTTAACATGTAGCTATCATGTGGGTTTTAGAAAGAAAGCGTTCATGAATTACCTGTTTATTTCAGGCAATTCAGTCAATTCTACATCAGGGTGAAAAAGACAACATAACACATTTGGATGCTAAGACACAGTATGGCAGACCAGAGTGGAGCAAGATATTTAAGAATATTGGGGAGAAACACAAAGGGTGAGTGACAGTATTGGAAAGTTCAGGAGTAGGCTGCAACAGTGAACTGAAATGTGAACAACAGTTAACTGAAATGTCAACAACAGTGAACTGAAATGTGAAGCAAAAGAGCTATGGAAATCAAGAGTTGGTGGCAGATATATGTCTTAAGATAAGCTACTAAAGTTTTACAGTACCTAAATTACTCTGTTCTAGTCTCATTGCACATCAGTTACTTCAACCAGCTTGTTAACTAGAAAAAGCACAGCTCCACTTTTTTTGTAGTCCAAAGAGCTGAAGTGGTGAACTGATAGTAACAATATTTCCTTCTTTGTTGTAGGACAGAAATTGGGGTCTTTTTCTGTGGACCAAGTGGTTTATCACATGTGTTACACAAAAAAGCCAACCAGTATAGTAATCCAAGTACAGGAGTCAAGTTTTGTTACAACAAAGAAAATTTCTAATTTTTTGGAAGAATGCAGACTATAGTTTGTAGTCAGCTTCTTATTTGACTGAGCACTTAAATTGAATATTAACACCTTGATATATTTCTATCTTGCAAAACTATCTGGTAATCAACATTATTAATCCTTTAACCCCCAGAAGTGATTTGCGTAACTTCTCCCAACAATATCCATACATTATCCAACAAACAGGTAATGAGATAACTCAAATTTATCAGTTAGAGATTGTAATCATGATGTAACACCAAATTATTGTAACTAAATTACAAGGAAATGTGTTACAGCCAGATAGGAGAATTAACAACTAGATCTTGGGAGTTAAAGGGTTAATATAAACAACTGTGACTAGTATCTTATTTCTCCTTACAATATCACTCCTGAATCAAATATTAAGCTAGGTCTGAGAATAAAGGAAATGATGACTAACTAAAGAAACTTTTGATTATTCATCAAATTCTCCTTGTCACCATCTCAGGAAACGTATAGAGCACAGTATAGAGAAAAAGCATACTGGTGCATTAAGGTTTTAAGGGTTTATGATGAATTTAAATGTATTAAAAAAAAAGGACACTCTTCTCATTTCTTTTAAAGGAATAAGGAAATCCATATACATTTATGGCACCTTAGGCCCCTATGTACTTTGAGAGGGGAGATACCATCACTACTTTAAAATTAACCAAAACCAGTAAAAAATACTTTTTGAGCAAGGACATATTATTGCCACCTTTTAAGAATTTACAAACCTAGTGAAAAAGACTTTTTGAGCACACTGATTGGCTTTTAACTTAAGTAAAAAAAATTAGTTTAGGACTTAAGGTATAGAAAATATATATTTGTAAAAAAAATGAGTTTAGGACTTTAGGTACAGAAAATATGTATTTGATGTTTAATTGGAATATACACAAGCAGTGATTAGCAATTATTCAGGAAAGTAGAAGTACATATCCACCACTTTCACCTAAAACTGAGGTGAATAAATCACTTGAGAACCAGAAAATTACTTGCAGTATTTTTATCAACATACCACAAAATATTCAGAAATGAAACTCTTAATGGACACTTCAATATTCTGCTGCTTGGAGGTGAATAGTACCTGCTAATCACCTCTGAGGAAGCCAATCTGCTTATGAAAAAAAATCATCATTCACCTGCTAGGTATTCACTAGTATAATTTATTATTAATGTACATTAGACTTATTATGAAAATCATGATTAGTCGAGAGCATTCAAATGATGTACTGACAGTGAAGTTGACTTGATAAATGCAATATCTACGGCAGATATTACCTTTGTTTTATCAAGTTCAAATTATGCCTAGTTTCTAAGCCCCTTGTCTTTGTAGTGTTCTCAAACTTTTGCCAAGTCAGAGAGAAGTGTCATTTGCAAATTGTTTCAAAAATGTTATCATAAAACAATCATTAAATTTGGACTTTACATGATATCATTCTCAAACTCATCCAATAATTGCTTCTTGTTCACCCCATTGGTACAAAAATTGGTGGATATTTACCTTGCCACTCACCTCTACGGTAAAGGTATTTGTTTCTCTAACGGAATTTGGAACAGACACCCCTATTTAAATAATCCATATGCCAGTTACCATAAAAATTAAAATGTCATATCAAATAGGAAATTTCACTGCTGTTAGATGTAGCAAGGAAACTTTACTAAACAATGGTGCAAGATTTTAAATCTTTATAATTAATTTTTGAAGAAGTTGTAACAAATATTGGCCAAACCCCAAAACTTAAAACAAGTTAATCAGAAAGTGTATTAAATGAGACCTACCAATATCTCACTGGTGTATACCGGTAGCTCATAATTCTCATGACTGGTGTGCTTTTAATGTTGTGTATTGGATGCAGAGTAGACCATGACAACTTTTAATTGATGAACAGATCATTTTCACTCCTTCACTTACTATGTAATTCAAACAAAACTAAAATCATACAGAATCTCTAATCCATCACATCCCAAGGAAATATTTAACTATACAAGAAGCAACATTGAATACAGTTTACTGATACCTTTGAAATCTTTGTTGAAAAAAAATTGAAAGCTAATTTCTCTGTGGGAAAATTTCATCCTTCCAAGCTTTCTCTAAGTGACTCAATTCACCCCCACTTTATCCTTGATCTTAAGGGTCCACGACAGTCATGGACAAATACCATGAAAGATGTTCCAAACTGGTCATTCAAATTGTTGTTCAAATCTGTTGCTCTTCCTCAAGTCATTTGCAAGAAAAAGAAGATAGAGTTAGCATCTGGGGAGCACACTCATGGTTACTTCGAGGAAGGTTCCCATTCATAACAGGGTTCTTCCTCTTTGCAACTGCAAAATGTACAAACAGAGCCTTGAGTGTTAACTTTTGAAAAATGAACTGAACTGGAAAACAAACTTACTATGCACACCCAGCCAAGCCATCATTCCAAAATTTAAAGACAAGTTCAAGGTCACCTGCACACTCAGATGCTCAAAATAACAGACTAAGACTAAGACCTAATAGATTTGTAAGGCAAGGTTAACCTTAATGAAGGGGTAAGTTTCTAGAAAAACTGTGGTGCTACATCGGTAGGAGAGTATAGCAGGTAATTTATCGTTAACAACCGAGTTGGAAGGTTAACCTTACTTGATCTTGATGTACAAGTACTGGTACAATTACAGTGCCAACTCAAACATACTAAGTGGAACTGAAACGGCATACTTGAAGGAAGCCCTCACCAGAGAGAGGTTTCTTAATGGACCAGGTCTGATAAATTGCACTCAGCAAATTCTTGCTTCTCAAAAGTAGAATTTTTTTAACTGGGAAAACCTGTAGCTCTGTGAAGCTTCAATACAACCACCTAATGCTTAAAGGTACACTACACATGTTCACATCAACAAAACTTTAATAGGCATTGACTTAAATCTTCTTACAGTTTTTGGACCTCTCCAAAGTTAGACTAAGCAAAAATGTTATTGTAACCTGTTTATAATAATTAACTGAAACAATGCAAAAAAGAAAATCTTACCCTACAAAAAAAAGTGGATAATTTTTTGCCTTAAGCAGTTTTTAAAACAATCAAATAGTAAGAGCAAAGTTCAGGGATGTTACTGTCCACCTCTCAGACGCAACACCAAATGAAGAGTTGACTCTTTTTGTATGTTGTAGTCGCTCAGAGTGCGGCCATCTTCAAGTTGCTTGCCAGCAAAAATCAATCTCTGCTGGTCTGGAGGAATACCCTCTTTATCCTGGATTTTGGTCTTCACATTCTCAATGGAGTCGCTGGGTTCAACCTCAAGGGTGATGGTTTTTCCTGTCAAGGTTTTGACAAAGATCTGCATGCCACCACGCAGGCGCAACACAAGGTGGAGGGTTGACTCCTTCTGGATGTTGTAGTCACTCAGGGTACGACCATCTTCTAACTGCTTTCCAGCAAAGATCAACCTCTGTTGGTCTGGAGGGATGCCTTCTTTATCTTGAATCTTGGTTTTAACATTCTCAATGGAGTCGCTGGGTTCAACCTCCAGGGTGATGGTTTTGCCTGTTAGGGTCTTGACAAAGATCTGCATGCCACCACGCAGACGCAGCACAAGATGGAGAGTGGATTCCTTCTGTATATTGTAGTCGCTCAGGGTACGACCATCTTCTAACTGCTTTCCAGCAAAGATCAATCTCTGCTGATCTGGTGGGATGCCCTCTTTATCCTGGATCTTTGTTTTGACATTTTCAATCGAGTCGCTGGGCTCTACTTCAAGCGTGATCGTTTTTCCGGTTAAGGTCTTGACGAAGATCTGCATGCCTCCACGCAGACGCAAAACAAGATGGAGGGTGGATTCTTTTTGGATATTGTAGTCACTCAGTGTACGGCCATCTTCCAACTGTTTACCGGCGAAAATCAACCTCTGTTGGTCGGGTGGGATACCCTCTTTGTCCTGGATTTTTGTCTTGACATTTTCGATCGAGTCGCTGGGCTCGACTTCGAGCGTGATTGTCTTGCCTGTGAGGGTTTTGACGAAAATCTGCATTCCTCCTCTTAGACGCAACACCAAATGAAGGGTTGATTCTTTCTGGATGTTGTAGTCACTCAGGGTGCGGCCATCTTCTAACTGTTTGCCAGCAAATATCAATCTTTGCTGATCGGGTGGAATGCCTTCTTTGTCCTGGATCTTTGTTTTGACGTTCTCGATGGAGTCGCTGGGTTCGACTTCGAGTGTGATTGTCTTGCCTGTGAGGGTTTTGACGAAAATCTGCATTCCTCCTCTTAAACGCAACACCAGATGAAGGGTTGATTCTTTCTGGATGTTGTAGTCACTCAAAGTGCGGCCATCTTCCAATTGTTTGCCGGCGAAAATCAACCTTTGTTGATCAGGAGGGATTCCTTCTTTGTCTTGAATCTTTGTCTTCACATTTTCAATGGAGTCGCTCGGCTCGACCTCAAGCGTGATGGTTTTTCCCGTCAGAGTTTTCACAAATATCTGCATTCCACCTCTCAGACGAAGAACCAGGTGAAGAGTAGACTCTTTTTGGATGTTGTAATCACTTAGGGTTCGGCCGTCTTCGAGTTGCTTGCCAGCGAAAATGAGACGCTGTTGATCGGGCGGGATGCCTTCTTTGTCTTGGATTTTCGTCTTCACATTTTCGATACTATCGCTCGGTTCAACTTCCAGAGTGATAGTCTTCCCGGTTAAGGTCTTCACAAAGATCTGCATTTCGATTTTTTAGGGTTAACTTCAATTTTTCCACTGTTAAGCGACGTAAAATCTTTCTCTTAAAATTTCAGAAAGTAATGGCGTCGAAGGAAATGGGCGCTTTCTTTACCCTTCAGTATCGTCATCTGATTGGCTGGCAATTGCATCGTCATCATCACGTGATTAAAATTTTCTGATGTCATAATACACAATGAGAAGATTGCAATTCATCAATCACTAAATTAGTCATTTGTCATTTGTATTTCGGTCCTTCGATTTTCTTTTGCATGTACTCAGATAAATGTTGGTATTCTTAACGATCAGAAGCTATGAATATCTTATTATTTGGTGTAAATGCTGATTTAAAGTCCCACTGGTGTTGTTCTACTTTTAAGCGTCTTCATTTTCCCCATTTCTTGTGCTGAATAAGCATGTGTTAGCGCCTTCCGAAGGTCGCATGGAAACGTGATGTTATCTGTTGACGTCTGCTGTTTTAAGTTGCACAATATGTCTCAAGACTACTTCAAAGTTAGGACTTACAATATTCCATTTACGAAAGTAATAAATAATGTTTTGAATAGCGTAAGATTGAGAGCGGAAGTCGATAGAGCTGAGAGAGCGAAATACATAGTTCGATCAGTTTTCAGTTTCTAGTCACCTATATTCAGGCGATTTTCACGGGTATTGTGCTCACGTGAATTTTAACGGTAGTGCCAACAGAAAGTCGTGCTAATCTAATAACAAATCCTAGAGATATCGGGCGCACTCCGGAAAATTGTAAAAACTTCGAGAGAACGATCAAATTTATAGTTATCCGTACTTCATTTGAGTCAGAATTATTCACACCACGGGTCAGAATTGCGTGAAATAAAATTTTACAAGCGTTGCAAAGGAAAAAAACAGCAGAAAATTAATTTTAATTATTGTATCCAATCTTAATTGGGCCTATAAACAACGGGTAAATTAAGCTAAGGTCCCTGTGGCATTGCTTAGGGTTAGGTTAGGGTTAGAAAGTACAGCAGGGTTAGAAAGTGCAGCATCACGATATTTTCTAACGGAAGAAATCACCTGTAAGGCTCTCAATCTTAATTTGTCTTATTTATCGGCCACCTTACAAGCCACTAAATGATCTCAAGATGTTTAAGCCTTGGTTGGGTCTTTCGGCGACATTCTCCCTAAGGATAAAAATTTCAGTTTTGCATCGAAGCGTTTTACTTCTTGGGGGAGGGAGATTGGAAATTTGTGGCAATGACGGAAATGTCGATGTAGCTTTAGGGGGAAGAATTAGCCGTTAGATATATCTCCCCTAATGAGTTTTCGACATTAACTGGCTACCACTCGGAGCTGCTGTTTACCATTTTGATGGTGATATATTTAGCAGTCGTAGTAGATATTGCTAATCATAATTTTTGGTATCTAAGACGTAAAACTAAGTTTTCACACCGATGAGCCGAGAAATTATAAATTTTAGGGACCCACCCAGGCCCCAAATTTTAATGTGAGTTCAAGTGGCTATTTATTTCTATAAAGGAAACTTGACGTTTGTGACGCAATGGAACTGGAACACAACGGAAACAACTAGGGAAGAAATTTTAAATTTTCGTCCTGATAACGTCCCTTCATTGACTCAATTTCTATTTGAGTAATTGGCAAAGATAGTGGAATGAAAATATTCTCCTCACGATCAGCTTACGGCTTCTGCTGACGGTCGATGTCACCGTGTTTTGTATCCCTGTGTGTCGTCATCATTTCAGAGACTAAGACTAGCATTTCATGCCTACATTGGCTTATGGGTATTCAATTAGATGAACATTAAGATGGCGGCTTCAGTGGCAGGTCTTCCTCAAGCACAAAATCAAGCGAAGCAGCAAGCCGGTGTTGCCTCAGATAGATCATTGCGTTCAGTTTTTGGTGCGTTATATGCCCAGTATTTTAATTTTATTCAATAACAGAGGCGCTAGTGGGGCAATTAATGAATATTTACCACATGATTGAGCGCGTTTACACCATGGTAGAAATGTTGGCGATTCGGCTAGATCTGTTGCTTTAAATTCTTAATGGATTCGAATTGCTGAAATTTTTGCTGAAAAGTTATTTAACGTCCAGTTATTTTTTTACTTGACGTATAAGTAGTTTATTCGAATGATGATGGAAGAAATTGAGGTTTAAAAATCTCCTTCACAACTAATTCCACCACATGCTTGATCTTTCTCACTTTCTTACCCCATTACCCTGCTTGTAAATTACCGAAACGGAGGTCTTGTAGGACTAATTATATGTGGTTTCAAACAATTTCAGATATTAAAGCTACGTGTTTTTATCTTTTCAGTTGGGAATATTCCTTATGAAGCATCTGAGGAGCAACTTAAAGAGATCTTCTCTGAAGTTGGACCAGTTGTTAGCTTTAGGTCAGCTGAAAAAACAACTGTACAAATATATTTTGCACAGTAAAAATTAATTTTTAAATGACTTGAAAAAGTGGCTTTTATGGTAAAGAGTGTTGCATTTCCACAATGGATGAGGAAAATACTCTTACTACTACCTGAACGATGAATGAGGAAAAGTCTTAATCTTTTATGAGAGAAATTTTGGATATGATGGAGTGTCTTTGACACTATGATAAATAAAAACTTTCAGGCATGAGATGACAGAGAGGGTTACGCATACAGTAAAAAATAATAACATTAATGAGGTTATTGTCCAAAACATCAGAAGTATACATGAATTTCAATCAAAGTTTTGCTCAAGATAATGAAGAGGGTCACACATGCAGTAAAATAATAATCTTTGCTAGGTTATTGTCAAAAACACAGAACTACACATGATTATATTTTGAGCAAAGTTTTTCCCTATCAGCAACAATGTACACCATATGGATTTTCATTCTATAGATTAGAATTAAGGTAAGGATAAGGAACTTCAAATCACCATAAAACTAATAGCCAAAAAACTCCTTTATTTCCTAACTTTGCATGCCTTGAACTGAGTTTCAAGGGTCTCAATACTCAACTTGAACATCTAGAAACTCAACTTGAATGTCTCGAAACTCAACTTGAGCCTTGATCCATGAAGTTATCAAGAAGTGAGGATTGAGGTTCGAGGGACTGTCAACTTACCTTTGAATGGTACTGTAGCTGGTATATTGATCAAAAAACTTGAAAGAAAATTAAGTAAATTATGCATGCAATTTAATGCCCTGATGTGTAAACTTGTGAGGCGTAACATGTAATAGTATTTTTCTACTTTTGAACAATACAGGGATAAGTAATAATTTGGAGTGATTATTTTAAACTTTAATTTTATCATTAGATTGGTATTTGATCGTGAAACAGGAAAGCCTAAAGGATATGGGTTCTGTGAGTATAAGGACCAGGAAACTGCCTTGAGTGCTATTAGAAATCTAAATGGGTATGAACTGAATGGAAGAGCTTTGCGAGTTGACAGTGCTGCTTCAGAAAAGAACAGGGAGGAAATGAAAGGTTAGCAAGTTACTGTGTGTCTGACTCATTATAAATGTTAGGTTTTCACTATGCTTTTCCTCATGGTATTATTGTTTTGTCAGAGAAATATATATATATATATATATTTTTTGGAGGTTGTTGTCTTTTTACTCTGTCCTTATTCCATGGGAGAAACAGTAGGTTATTGATTGTCACTCTGGACTGGGAGGTGAGACTTGCTGGTTCAAAACCTCACTAGGTTGTCATATTGCATTCATAGGGGAAATGCAAAGTGCTTCTCTCCACCTAGGAGAGATATACTTGGGTACCTCAAACTATGGGAGAAATCTAACAGAATTCACAGTGGAGAGGGGGGTAACTTACAGTGGACTTGCATCACATCCAAGAGGAGAAGCAATTCACCAGCTCAAGTCCAGCTGAAAAATTGTGATAAGCTGCTGTACCTTGGGGCTGCTTGGCTTAGGTAAAGACCAGCCAATATTTACCTTACAACTTTCTTTCTCATTACAAGGTATAGAAGGAAGCAGTCGTCCAGAAGTAAACCCTTATGGACCACCAGTTGCTCCTGAAGAGGCACCTGAAGCCATTACACAAGCTGTGGCAAGTTTACCTCCTGAGCAGATGTTTGAACTTATGAAGCAGATGAAGGTAAATCACTCACAATGGCAGTAGCAATAAAGATCCTTCCTTGCAAAACTTTTTAGCTCCTGAACTATTGCAGGAATTAAGTACATTTTAAAAGCATTGAAAACAATAGTAATCATAATGGCTAATCAGAACACAAAACAAAAAATATCTGAAAGAATACTTAAGAAATCAAGATGAAGACAAGCAAGTAGTCTAAAATATTGAAAAAAGCGCACAAACCAATTAACAATCGGTCATAGTTGTACACCTGGTAGGTGTAGGAGTCTAGGAGTGACTAGCATCTAATTTCTCCTTACAATATCTCCCCCAAATCACACATTAGGGTAATGAGAATATAGGACCTGAGGAAAGTATAGAACCCTTTGGCCCTAAGAGTGACTAGCAACTAATTTCTGGTCAAACATAAAGGTCACAAGAATAAAGGAAACAATCACTTACTAAATAATGAAGCTCTTGATTGTTTAACAAATTCTCCTTGTTAGCACCATAGGAAATGTATAACAAACAGTAGGGAGAATATGCATACTGCAGGGCTCGAACTTAACTTTTTTGTCTACTAGCAAAGTTTTGCTAGTAAGATTTTTTTTTACTAGCAAAAGAAGGAACCTAACTAGCAAATGTTTGCGGGAGGATATTTTTTAGACTCGCAACTTCGAAAAACCACTCGCATTTCGCGAGTTTGCGAGTGCTAATTTCGAGCCCTGTACTGGCATGAGGGTGTAAAGGGTTAAGAGGATAGTTTGAGTTTTCCAAATCAATCACAACCCAAAGAAGTAAAAAAACCATTCTTACTCCTGTTAACTCTTGACACTCATTTTAAATTTTTTTCTTAGAATAAAATTTTAATTAGATGAAAGCACTGAGAAATTCTCAGTTCAAGGTTTATTTTGGTTTGAATTTAAATGTGGAAACAAACTGCTTCCTTTTCTGTAGTGTTGCAGTAATTATTGCTAACTAGCTTTATGCTTTGTGCTCTGCCAGATTTGCATTCAAAACAACCCTGAAGAAGCCAGACAGATGTTACTTCAAAACCCACAGCTTGCCTATGCCCTATTGCAGGCTCAGGTTGTCATGAAGATTGTTGATCCTGTTATTGCACAGGTTGGTGTCAAGGAACAAATTTTGTTTTACGATTAATTGCACTCTCATCATTCTAGCAAAAAGCAAACAGTTAGAATGAAAGAGAAAAAAAGCCAAAGAAAATTGAATTTGTATTTTTCTAAATTTGTTATTTGTCATCACCAAAATGGTACATTAATGTATTTGAAGAATTATCAAAAAAATGGAAAGAAATGTATACAAAACAATTTAAATCAAAAGTTGGTTTTCAAAGCATGTGTTTCAGGACTGTCAATATCTTATCCAAAGATAATTCATATGCTAAATATTTTCTCTTTGGCTTTTTTTTCTTCTGTCTCCATTTTTACTTTTGCATTCTTCTATGACATTTTTTTTTTGCAGTTAGGTGTATGTGACTGTAAAAAGCAAAGGTGGAAGCCCTGTGGGGTTGTATGGTTCTAGACTATGTTACACTCTAGCATTAAATATGTTGTGGATGCTGGATGCGATGCCATAGGGATCAGGGACTTTATGCTTAAACTTTGGATAAGCTCCTTCCTGAATTTGGCTGAATTTTTGGCCTGCAATTGCATGGTAAAGATGAGGTTACACACTTGCAGTCATGCAATCTTTTAGCTGTCTCACTTGAAATTTCAGTCAGTAGCCCAATTTTGTCAGCTACAATCCTGTACACATAATGAGCTCCTGAATAAGATTCCTCCTTGTTTTAGGGCATCTTGCACAGACCTACCGAACCTTTAGCACCTTTACAACCAACAGGTGCACAACAGCCTCAGCCACTTATGCGTGCAGGACCTTTAGGGGAAAGAAAAGGTCCAAATAATGCAGGCCCTCCTGGACCCTTCCACTCAGCACCTGGATCAGCACCTGAAATGAGAGGTCCTCTAGACATGAGAGGTCCTCCAGACATAAGGGGTCCACCTGATGGGAGAGGCCCAGGTGACATGAGAGGCCCCTCAGATATGAGAGGCCCTCAAGATATGAGGGGGCCATCGGACATGAGGGGTCCTCCAGATGTTAGAGGTCCACCAGATATGAGAGGACCAGGTATGAAAAGAAATTTCATCAACAGAGTGTTAAAACAGATGTGGCTTTAGATCTTTTCCTAGCTCCACTAACATATAAAAGAATCCTAATACTTATTTATTAATTTCCATAGGACCTGATAGTCGGGGTCCACCAGATATGAGGGGAATGCACCCTGACATGCGGGGCCCTCCAGACATGAGGGGACCCCCAAACAGAGACATGAGAGGTCCCATGGATAGAGGCCCAGGAGATATGAGAGGTCCACCTGATAGAGGCCCTGGAGATATGAGAGGTCCACCTGACAGAGGTCCTGGAGATATGAGAGGTCCACCTGAAAGAGGTCCTGGAGATATGAGAGGCCCACCTGATAGAGGTCCTGGTGAAATAAGGAGCCTTCTTGGAGACATGCGTGGACCTGGACCAGATCCAAGGGACTACAGGGGCCCTCATTCAGACATGAGAGGACCTGAAGGCAGAGGTATATGAATGTGATAACCCTTGGACAAGTTTTTTGTGTGTGATCTTATGGGATATGTCTTACCATTTAACAGTTTAGCATGAGGGGGAAAAATAACTCATATCACTAAACAAAAGAGCGAGATAATCAAATTAAAAGTACTTAAAATTACACACCTTTTCTTTACCCCATAAACATGTTTTTTTTCTCTACTGTATTTCTGAGATGGCCTTTAAGTTACACAATGAACAAAAATTGGCAATTTACGAAGGGTTAAAAATGAATTATTTACTCATAGCATGCTGGAATATTGTGGAATAATGCCCTTGGATGGATGATGTTGTCCTTGAAGCTCTCTCTGCCACCCACCTGTTTCTTTCAACAGTCTTTTAGCTGGAGGGATTCTTCATTACACTTCATTACACTTCATTACACTTCATTACACTTCATTACACTTCATTTGAGGAGATCTTAACAAAAGAGTATTCCAGTGATTCATGGTTCACTTAAAACCAGGAGTGGCACAATAATAATCTAATATCATTGACCCTTATTTTTCTTATTGATGTAAGCTTTTGTTTTTGTCAGGTTCACAGGGTCCTGACTATAGAGGTCCTCCCCAAGACCAGTTTGGAGACCCAAGAGATCGACGCATGCCCTTTGACCCCAGAGACCCAAGAAACAGAGAGCCACAAAGGGGTATTACTATACATATAATTATTTATGTATTTGTTCATTTATTTTTGTAATATTAATTTGTTTGCCCCTCTACAAAAGAACTTTATTAAAGGTTAAAGGAGCAGGAACTTCTGCATAAAGCTGCATAGTGTGCTATCATTAATGCAGGCATCACTCTGTACTAATTTTATGTCTATGGAGCACAGAAGGATATATCAAGTTCAGTAATAAATTTTCTATCCCAATATAGATGTAAACAATGGTGCACTTCATAAAATTGCTATAGAGCATGCAAACAATTCTTATCCTCTGTGTGATGTGAGTCTTTGTCTTTGTCTTTGTGTCATTAGATAATGCTGTAACCTTGGCTACTGTCTAAATCTCTTTTGCAGATGATAGAAGAGGTCCCTCTATGGATCCCAGAGACCAGCCCAGGGACCCAAGAGGTCCACCTCCTGAACAAAGATACGGACCACCAAGTGGGCCAAGGGATCCACGTGGTGAACGTGGCCCCCCAGGTCCCCAAAACGATGGACGTTTTTCAGGACCTGTCCACTCACCACAGCAACAGTGGGGTCCTAACCAAGGGGGACCACCTCCCAGAGGTCCTCAAGGTCTGAACAAATTGCCTAAAAATTAACATTACAGCTGTATATTTAGCTTGTCAACTCTACGGACTGTTTATTTAAACAAAGTTTAGCCGTTGTTTAAAAAACCCGCGTCCTAAACAATCCTCATCTTAGCTGGAAATTTGTGTTTGTGATCAGTGAAAAGAGAGCCGAAAGCTAACAGCAGAAGGACATTTATTTGATGAAATCAACCATCTTACAGAGAAATCCTGAGGCCCACTAATTGCGTAAGACCGTGGTTTGGGTTAGACTTAGTGAAGATGACTGGCCTTGTGTGTTTGGAAATGATTCAATTGTTTGTTTTACCCCAATAACAGTATTTGACTAAGAGGTCAAAAATTTCCAATTCTAAATTTCTTTATGCTTATCTAGCGTCTATTCAGATTTTTTACAAGTTTTTGTTATTTGAACGAACTTACCACTGTTAGAAGGTCAAAATAGTTGATTAAAATGATAGATTCATTTTATAAGAAGAGACAGTTTTTGGAAATTCTAGTGAGTTAGAAATGTAGCCTCACAAATTGAAATATTTCGTTGTATTTCCTTTAAATAAGCACTAGTTTGCAACTAAAGCAAAATGGAACTGTTTCGCGTTTTGTCCAACACGCCCCATTTTGTGATTCTAACTTGCAGTATTTTAACAGGTTTTAATCCTGGACCGGCGGGGCCTGTTGCGCAAGGTGGTGACGTCACAACTCAGGATCAAGAGAAGGTAACCAATGAGATTTCACAATTTTGTTTTGACCCCATAGGTTTGCTAGCATGCAGTTTTATATGCGAGGTCTAAACTTCATTGTTCATTCCCTTTGCAGGCGGCTCTTATCATGCAAGTGTTGAGCCTCACTGATCAGCAGATCGCTTTGTTACCTGAAGATCAACGACAGAGTATTATGGTTTTGAAGGAACAGATAGCTCACAGCACGCAGCCTCATTGATTTATGTAGCAATATCCATTTAATTTGCTCTTCTTGTTTTTGAAAATCATTAAAACTCTCAGAAACTTTGTAAAGTGAAAGTAAGAATTGTGTCCAGAAAGGAGGTTTCTAGCTCAAGACTACTCGTGGGATATCAACAAACTAATACTTGTTTTGGCTTCGCATGCTCTACCACCTAGCGTTAGAACAAAGGGAATCGAGAGGCCACCTTAACGAACCTGACTCTCCGTACCCACCAGTCTTTTTTCAACCCTTTTCACAATTTAGAAGAAAAACATTGGGTGATCTTTACAGCAGATGTCAGTCCTCAACATTTTGAGAACTTTATTCGCCGAAAGCAACTTGGGTAAGAAATTCTAAACCAATTGCTAGAATCGCTTCAGCCAGTATCTTTCGATGTAGCTGTAATAGATGGTTCGAAAATTTTCCTGAAATAAAAACTATAGCGTTTTATTGGTGTTAGCTAATACAAAAACAATCTATATGTGTGTTTATATCAAAGTATTACTCAACCACTTCGAGAAAGGTCACTGAAGAGCCAAGGACACAATATCCGACTCGTTTTCTGTGACGACACGAATAAACGTCATCGTGAATGTACCCAAAAAAGCTATTCCAAGAGTACTAATTTAGGAATCTTTCAACCCCTCGTTTAAGTTGTTTCACCTAAGCCCACATAACAATAATCATTCCAGAGAATCAGTATTTGGCGCCAGTATCGGTGGACGATGTAAATTCCGGTTTAAAACACATTCTTCTATCTATTTCAACGTATGTGGATCTGATAACGTGTTGATATCGGATTCTATGTCGTATACAAGATTTTAATCTCGCTAAGGAATTATATAATTTCTGACGTTAAAGTGACGTGGGAACGAATTGTTTCTCAACTCCCTGTAGAATATCATTACAACCATTAATTTTTCTTTGTGATTAGTAGTGCAACCAGGTTAGTTTACACTTTCCTCGGGGTATCGTGCTGCTGCATGGGATGATGAATACGTTTCCACACATTTATTAGCCACATCTAAAGGGTGTTCTTTTGGTGGTTTTTGAGTGGTTTTCGTATCTGGTGTAGCACTGGTTCTTTCTGTAGAACCCTTAGTTGAAGGTTCAAATGTTAAGATTGTATCAGAATGCGTATACTAGAAGACTGACTCATCCAAAATAAACTTTTCACATTGAATGTCTCTTGTGAGTGTAGTCAGAATGCTGAGAAGTCAACGGACATTTCAACATACAGTTTCTGAATCTTGTGAAATGTATGCTAGTTGATGTTATCTTCCCTCCTGACACTTTTTTATCTTACGGAAATCGAAGGGCAGTCAATTCTGGTGTTTGTTGCCTCATATAACTTCAGCATCAACATTACCTCAGCAGTAGAATACAGCGGTCTTTCAGTCTGTAACATCTGCTTTTTAGTGCAGGTTACTGGTAAAGTGAGGTCTGTCTGGAGTGCTTATCAGGCGTGCGAGTCGCAACGCGCGCTCCCCGCGCGTGGCCTCGCGTTTTCCGTGTCCCCAATCAAGCTTTCCTTCGCTCGCGTGAAAAACGCCAAAACAAATTAGGCCTGTTTTGCAGACTACTTTAGAATATTTTTTCGCCGATTTCAATCGGTTTGTGCAACGGTTTACTCGGTGAAAGAGGTATTAGTCTCACGTCAGCCTCAGCTACCAGCTACCAACCCCTCCCGACTTCCTGTTGCGCGTGTTGCGTCACATGACATGCTTGTGATTGCTTGTGTCGTGACCATTCCTCCTCTAGTGTTGCAAAGGTTCCGCCTGACAAAGATGTGACTTTCAGGAAAGAAATGGCGTCCTGTGTCGTGTTTCGTTGGTCCATGTTTGTTATAGTTTGGCCCTTGCTTCTCCTCCCTTCGACCCAAGAAATTCAAGTAAGGGTAAGCTGCCACAAGTATTTGACGAACTTTGCCCACGCAGCGGCGAACTTCACTTCATGTGCTATACAGCATTCTCGTCCTTTCCGTTTTTGCTGCAGTTGTAATAAGGCCTATGTCGCGGTACTTAACATACACAGGACTATTGTAGATAACGACACTTGCCACGGTGACTTGGTAATGGGGGAACAGCATCAGATTGTGGAATCTGCGTATGATTTTGTGGTAAATCTCTGGACAAGCTCTCACTGTCCAGGTCGGTAAGCGGACAACGTCCCAAAGAGTTGTTTCATGACTGTGATAATAATGTAAGCAGGCCAGCAGCATTTAAATGGCAGAGGGAGCTGCTTAATAGAGTTTATGATTACAATCTTGAAAAAAAAAAAGTTCTCTGAGACAAAAGCGAACTTTCCTGATCAACTTTAAAAGGAAAAAACACTTTCCCAGCAAATCCCCTTAGTCATGAAATATGCTATTTCCACCTCTCCCATGATAAAATACCCGAGGGGGGAGGAAGGAGGATACTGTCCAACATTGGGTGGCAAGGTATGTGTTAGCCAAAGGGGTAGGATTCTCCAGATGTTTTGGGCCAAAAACTAGTTTGGATTCAGTTTATTGTGATCTCAAGTCAGACAGGGTTTCATTTCAAGGGAGACACAAGAGTATTAGGACACAATTTCTTTGTTACTCAAAATGGATAATTTAGAGTCACAGGTCAATAACTCTGGAGCAAATGCTATTTCCTGTAAGATATATTCTTCAAAATTGACAGGTAATAATTGGGGTTTTGCATTGATAACACTAATATTGACTACTGATGGCTCCACATGTAAAATTATGGCTGGGCCATTGTGTTGTGTTCCTGGACAAAACACTTTACCTCAGGGAGCCTCTCTCCACCCAGGAATATTACAACTGGCAAATTTTCAGGGGCATCTGCTAAGATGCAGGGGTTAACTTGGTGATAGACAAGCAACTCATCAATACTCCTTGTCATTTCATATCAGTATATAGTCTTGGTTTTTGTGGTAAACAGATCTTAGAAACAAAATTTCTTCACCTATATCTTGTAAATGAATCACTTCTGAGACTTAAAATTTAGTACAGACCAGTCTCATTGGGTAATTATGTAATTACCAGAAAATAAAAGTTGGGTGAAATTGTGAAGTTAGCTTCCTGTACCACCTTAACCATTTAACTCTCACGAGTGACCAAGACAGAATTTCTCCTTACAATATCAATACAATGTCAACCAGATAAGTGATGAGAATAAAGAAAAATATCAATTTTGGAATAATTAGTTGATCCAATACTAAATTCTCAGAGCTAACATTACAAGAATTGTATAGTTGACAGTAAGGAGAATTACAAATTTGATATGAGGGTTAAGGGGGCCAGTGTGGATGCAAAATCAGAGAAGATACACGGTTCCCTTATTTCTTACTTTTCACAAATTAGTTTCTCTATTATTATTGTAGATTGCTTTCACAATGATGTTGATGGTACACCTGAGTATGTAAAACCAAAGATTACTGAATTTTTTGAAAAGTGGGAAGCTGTAGAGCACTGTTTCTTCAACAATTCCAGGGTAATCTTCCACTCATCTGTGTTCATATACCTACTCTCCTGGAAACATACTTAATCTTGCAGTTTCTGGAAAAGTTTTCTTCATCTCTCAGATAAAAAGAGTATACTATTAGATATTTGTTCAATCTTCAAAGAGGGGAAATCAAGTAAATTTGACCCTATTAAGACATTTTTATAGTGTTTCTCTTTAAAAACACGGTTGCTTTTTTGTGAATACTTATCAAGGGTCACCCATACCCTTTGTAAAAGTCAGTCATGTAAAAATGTTGGGCCTTTTTGGGCATTACGAATAATATCCAAAACTCTCTCATGTTCACGCAAAATTCAAGACAATTGATATTTTACTTTTTCTAGCCATCCTCACGCTACAAAAGATTATTAGTCTGTTATATGACTTTTATCGATCCATATGAAGTCCATCTCTTGCCAAAATCCTGGTCTAAACTTAACTATGGCTGTTGGAGAACAATGTTTTCATTTTCAAAACAGTTAAATAGCTCAAAATTCATCACGTAAATCAAAATGGTTTACAAATCATTTTTAATTCAACTCCTATTTCACAGGTCACTTTAAAATTAAGAAATTCATTTACATGGACATGAAAGGATCTTATAATCTTTTATCATGATTCACAAATGAAAAAAACTTAAATGGCAATTCATGAGAAATAGAATTGCCCAATCACCCTTAAATGATAATGTGTACAAGTCAATTTTGATTTCTAGAACCACACAATTCCTGTGCCAGTAAATGGGTCACATCAAAACATATCAGGAGTATACAGTGTGTGTGATAACTGTAGAAAGCCATATTCTGCCCTGGAGGAATTCTACAAGAGTATAGCAAATTCTGATGATCTCAAAGTTTGTGCTGATGTGTCTGCTTCTGTAAGTGTTACTTCCTCACAAATGTTGTTGGCTGTTGAGTAAGAGATACTAGGTGGGCTGGTATGATTTTGCCAGATTGACTGTATGTTAGCCTTTAGCAGCTACTTAATGAGAGTGCTGAAATTTACCTGAGAGATTTTGCTAACCCTTCTTATCGTTTTTTTTTTAATTGTTAAGTAAATCTGCCATTTTATTACAGATGAATTATACACGACAGCACTGGAGCAAAAGTTTTCACTGTGTCAAAATTTTCCATGATCTGGTCTCTGTGGTGGCTCTTACAGTGTTTTTTTGCTTCCTTCCCATCATATTTTACTCTGCTGCTAGACTGCAGGGTGCCTCAGAAGTCAGGAAAACAGGTAAAGAAATACTGGCCATGCTTTAACTCTTTAAACCCCTTTAACCCTTTAACACCCACGAGTGACCATGGCATAATTCCTCCTTACAATATCAATACAATATTAAGCAGACAAGTGATTAGCCTGCAGTGCAGGTGTCTTGTTAGTGCAAGCTAACGCTAAAAGCTTGTGATCATTTGTTCAACCAGCCATTTTTGATTTGCAGTTAGAGTGGATGGTGGGGGTAGGGGGTGGGGGAGGGGAGAAAAGACGCCTGCCTGAAGAGGCTGTTAAAATGCCCTATGCCCCCTGATTAGTTGCGCTTCACTGCAATTCCGGAAATAAGAAGGTAACCAATAAAAATGAGTTTATTTAAAAGTTGTTGACAATGACTTCCAGCAAAAACCAACACATGTGGAGCTGAGCTGTCATATCCAGCTACATATAGTGCGTAATGTCCAGTAAGAGTGCGAGTGACAACTGTAGGCTTTGTGGAGTTTCCTTCAAAATTCAGTTTGGAAATCTCCCCAAGCAGAGCCACTCTTCATCAGAAAATATTTTCAAACCTTCAAAACGGAAGGAGTGCTTTGGAGTTGTTTTGAGTGAAATTGTTCGTCAAGTTGGATTTTCCTAGGTGCAAGATAGCTTGAGATTTTCAGATCATGTTTGCAACCCATGTGGCCATAAGATTTGAAATTTAGGCCAATTGTACCACTTTGTCAAGAACGCAACTACAACAACGTCTACGCCAGTGAAAACTAGCAAAAGAAACCTTGACACGCCAGATAAAGCTAGTCCACCGTGGAGGAAATCAAAATCTGTATGTGTTCGTTCCCTGATTGGCAAGACTCCATTGAGGGAAGTTCCTCCTCTCATATGATCATGAGATGCTTAGTCATATGAATGTTTTGACCATCGACTGCCCCCTTGGTATAAATTTTACTCTCCCCAGCCTTCCACTGCCATTAAAATCAAAGATGGTGGCCATAATATTCATTATGAAATTACTTAGCCAAAATTATGCCTGCTCTACAGACTAACAAGTGATGAGAAAAAAGAAAAATATGTAAAAGGTGGTTATTAGTTGATCCAACACCAAATTCTCCAAATTAACATCACAAGAACTATATGGCAGACAGTAAGGAGAATTACTAATGAGATCTTGGGATTTAAAAGGTTAACTCCTAGAAGTGATGAACTTTTTCCTATAATATCTTTACACTATCCTGCAATCAGGTAGTGAGAAAACTCAAACTTATCAGGTTAAATTTGCTGTTTTGATTAACAACAAATTCTTCTAACTTATTTACAAGGAAATGTAAAGCAACTAGGGGGGAGAATTAACAATCAGATCTTGGGAGTTAAAGGTTAAATCCCGAAAGTTGGTTAGTGAAAGAAGGTTTAATTTAGGCCCAGGTTTTTGGCAATCAATGGACTTTGACAGTTCCCTATAGGTGAAGTTTTTGAAGTCACTAGATCTTTGTTTTAGATCAAATAGAAGCCCAGTTAACAGTTTTGCAAAACCTTGATGTTTAGGTGATATTTTCTGCTTAGTTTAAGATTGTTTACAGCACAGTTTGGATGAACAAGGGTTAAACTTTGTTTTAATAACTGGCTGTTAGAGTGACCAGCCTCTAATATCTTCTTACAGTAACACTGAATCTTTCTCTTAAGATCATGAGAATTAGAGAAATGATTGCTTACTTGAGTTGCTTTGATTGTTAAACAAATTCTGCTTGTCAGTACCAAAGAAAATGTATAGAGAAGAGAGTGGGTACAGAAGCTGTTTTTTCCCATGCTAAGTTTGCAAATTCAATATCATATCTCTTTTCTGCAGGTTGCTTATGCTATGATTTTTGCTTTTTTTCTTGAGGACATCTCTCTATCTTAACTTTGTTTCTGTATTTGTTTTCAAAGTTTTTTTGTCTTAATTCTTTATTTGCTGCAAAGCTCTGCTGTCTGTCATGAGGTTTCTCTTTTGCTAAAATTGTCTTTATTTGTTGTAATGACATTGCTTTCTCTGATTGAAATTGATTTTAGTACTGGCTCAAAAAAGCATTTAAACTACAATGTAAATTCTCCTTATTCTGTTATTTATTTGTTTGTTTAATTTAATGCTTCATGTTGTTAGTAATTGTGTAATTACTTGTTTTTTTTTGTGCACCACACAAATGATTTTTTTTTGTTTTGCAGAAACTATGAGGGCTCCTCTGACCTGAAAGTCTGCAACTGAGGGGCAACATGTCATCCAGGTTTTGAACATGTTAAGTGTTCAGAGTTGCTCAAATGCTGACTTGATCAAATGTAAAGATCATTGAGGTTGCTTCACTCTTTACATTCCAGTGGGAAAATTCCACATAAGTTAGAGGAAAGAAATGAGTGTATTAACTGGAAACACATCCAGTTGAATCTTGAGGAACCTTTGCAAGAACCTTTGTTGGAAAATAGTGAGAAAACTTAATTAATCTTTCAGAGAAGTGGAAATGAGTAGAAAAGCCCCCTATCTAATTGTTGACTCTGAAAAATAATTGAAATGACTGATAAATGAATTAAATAACTTCTACAGTATGCATTTGCATGTGCATACTACACCTTAAAAACTCACCAAAATTTCCTTGTATACAACTGTGAACTCCTCTCTTCTGATTGGTGTGCTCACATTTATGAACGTCAGCATCTTGCTGCAAATCTTACTGTTCAGTTTTCTTTGAAATTGTTGATTAAATTGCCTCTGAGAAACTTTATCTAAACTAAAGGAGGTTACCAATGTTGCAACCTCCAGCAAAAAATAATCTTCAAATTAATAAACGTCACATTTGTTTAAAAAACTGATAAAGGATTTTACATCATCGGCGTTAGCCTTCAACATCCAACTCTGACTTCCAGAAATGAGTAACAAACGACTCCTTCTATTCTATATCAAGATATTTTATGGCAAACAGGTGTGAGGGATAGAAAGCTTCAGCTTGATTTAACACGAAAATTGTCTCAACTAGTACACAAGTAACTGGATGGCAGCTGGAAGGAAAAATTTTAAATCTGACCTTGGGAGTATAGGGGCTAGGTTATAAAGCTTCTTGATTTGTGCAGCAACCCTTTGTTTGGTCCAAGACACTCATAAGAAGTTTTTATGTCTTTAATATTTTTATTTCTTTGATATTTTTATTTCTTTGATTGTTGGTCTGTTGTGGAGAAACTCTAAACAATCACTAAAGTTTGCACAAAGTTTTGAATTTGAAATAGAAGCTAGGTATCTTGTATTAATATTGAAGAACATGGTATGTCTACCAAAGAATAGAATGTCAGGTTCACTTCTCAGCTGTGGTTTGCATTGTGTGATGATACTAGACAACAAGGAATCTTCTAAAATGATAATTTGGTTTTGTCAACTGAGTTGATAATGTTCACTCCGACGAAGGGCTTACGCTCGAAACATTAGCTTTAGAAACTTTTCACGGTTGCCAATCAACGTTATAAACTCAGTTGATAAATTAGAACCAAATTTTCTTGTAATACCTTCCACCGACGTAGCACCACAGTTTGAAACTTACCCCCCCCCTCCCCACCCATCCAAAATGATTAGTTTTCTTTAGGTTTTTGTCCAATTTTTAATGATTAACCCTATACCTACTAAGATCAGAATTTATTCTCTCCACACTGCTCTTAATACTTTTCCTTTGGTTATGACAAGGAGAACTTGATTCTTAGTTTATTGAATTCTCGAGAAATCATTTTCTACTGTTACGTTGTTTTTCCTTTCTACACCTGAGTCGAAATATGTACTCCTTCAACTGATCAGCTTTTACTGTAATTGTGACATGGTAGAGTAATTTTTAATAAAGTGTCGAAAGTAACCCAGGTTATTATTGGTCAGAAAACTTCTGATTGTTTTTGGTTTCGAGACACTCGATCGAAAAGCGTCCTGTATGCTTTTGTATATCCTCAAAAGCATTACTTCGGGAAGAGTCCAACACGGAATTCCCATTTAACCTCATTAATCTGTTCATGCATTGTGATTGGCCAATCAGGAGTGAGATGATTTTTTGAATATTCAGTAATGTTTTTCTGCTGTTGAATCTGTGGACTTTCGCTTTCCGATCAGGCGCTCTTGTTTTTCAAAAGTGAAATAAAACCTAAGATTGTTTTCTGGGATAAATTTAGTTCCATGCGATTGCAGTGATTATTTGGAAACAACTCCACACTATTGTGGTGATTATAGCGATGCTTAGCGCTTGATGTAAAATTCTTTCTCCTCTTCCGGTCGTCCATAAATAGAGGAGCAGGTGAAGAGAGTCTCTTTGTTTCGGGAAAAAACACGTGCTTGGAAACATGACGTTCACGCCTTTTACGTGTTTCAATTCCCCTCTCTCCAGGCGTGTTTGGAAGAAATCCATCTTTTTTTATTTCAAATAAACAGGAAACTTGTAAATGGACAGGCGAACTAAACGCGTTTGTCGAGCAATTTTCTCCTCAATCGTAAATCACGATTGTTTGTTTTTTCTACTCAAAATGAACTCATTTTAAACAGCACAATAGACTGGCTGCTCAAATATTGCTCATAAAATTCGATACTTATGTTCCCCAAGCCTGAAGGGTTAAAACAATCCATTCAACACTGGTATAAGCCATGTAATTGCTGTATTGTACTTTGAATGGTTTACTCCGAATAGGCACGTGCCAGTACCACGCTTGACACCTCTATTGTTTCACCAATGAACTGGCAATGGCCATCGATGGCGCGTGTCCCACACGAACTGCACGTGTTTTCAATTCAACTCCGTAGACTGGAGCAATGACGCGAGTTACGCCGTCAACAATCTAGCAGATGTTTTCTTTGCTGAAGAATGTTTTGCCAGACTTTGAATCGTTAAAGTGAATAAGAAAAACGTGTTTGTTTGTTGTCGAGTGATGTTCCGTTCATCACTCTCGCAAATTTGCTTTGTTGAAAACATTGCGGCTGGACGGGTGTTTGGCGATTTTTTTTCCTGTATAGGACGCAATGAAAAAATTATCTTGTGCAATCATTGTTTGACTGATGCAAGCGGAGCAATTTTACATAATTCACAAACATCTCTTCTTTTTGCAGTTCAGTTATTAAGGCTCTTGATCCCGATGTAAAAATGTTTCTATCAAAGTTATATAATTAATCTTTGTGAACATAAAGATTAAAAGGCCTATTCTGTTAATGAATGGAAATATTCATGTTAGAATCGTAAATTTCTTCTGCGAAAAGGAAATGAACTTCACTAGCAAAATATACTTTTAGTTCCAAGCCTTGTTTTCAAGATATTTGCTCCAGCAACTCATTAGAAAACAAAAAAAAACAAGATTTAAAAAAATGTAAAAAAAATAAAATAAAAAAAAACAATTACTGAAATCGTCGCTGCTTCTATTCTCATTTTCGGCATTTCGTTTGTATTTTGCCGGTTACATACATATCGTTGTGAACAGATTTGTACTGAATATCATACGTCTGTAAAACGATAAAGTTTTGAGCGCTATAAGCACTAGAGTAATATTTTAAAGAGAAAGAAATAGGCCATGACACAGATGCACTTAACTTCACTACCGAAGACAAAGGGCAATATGTTTTTGTTTATTGACATCTGTAATTTGTAGTTTCTCTAGCTGTAGAGGCCCTGAGTTCGAGAAATACATACACGAGCGAGTTTAGGGACTAAAATACAACAAATCACTCATCTGAGATTAATGAATTGCGCAGGTAAAATTTTGTGGTGTGTTTTACCGACAACATTTAGTTCACCGCTCGTTCAGTTCTGTTGGGTGTGTGAAAGTTGAGATCTTATAGATGTCTAACAATTGTAAGTTACAGCTGTATCAAAGTTAATGTTTAAATAAAGAATTTTTATTTCTTCGATCTGAGATCACGGGCCTGATGTAAAGATACGCCATTATCCTGCTCCTGAATCCAGAACTGAGGTCTAGAGGAAACAATCGTGCAAAAGTATAATTTTTTTCCAAAAAAAAAAAAAGAAAAAATGAAATCATTCGAGCGCAAGGAAAGTGGCTCTTCTGATAACTTCTAATAAATTTACCCTCTCTTCTTTTATCTCTTGATAAAATGGAAAAAGAAAAATGATAGATGAAAAGGAAAACTAACGCATCGAGGTAGATTGAGGAAAATTGTACGAAAGCTCAATCTGGTCTGCCGTTTCTAGTGCTTAATACTCATAAAGTATTTCTCAACACGACGCAAAAAATAATCTTTTACCAGTTCTGCAGTTTCTTTTCTTAAAATTTTAACCTTAATACAATATTTTTTTGTCGAAAGGGAGGAAAAGTGTTTTTTTTTAATCGTTTTTTACGAATAAAAATTTAGTTTTTGCGCAATCGCTTTTGTTGTTCAGTATTTTTATGTGAGAAGTATCCGGGCAAGGAGGGAATTCACCGAGAAAAACTAAATTTCTACGTTAATCTTATGGTGATCTTACATTCTCAAGTTCTACTTTTGAAATAAGGATAACAGAGGCACTTCTTACGGTGCTTGATGGTTTTAGTCATATTTTCTGCAGGCATATTTCAGTAGAATTCATGCAACCAAAGACACGAAACTCAGGTGTTTCAGAGCAATGTTTGCTTTTATTTTGTCTGGTGTTTATTTGTTCTGTTCAGATAGCACCTGAGAATATTTGTTGATTTGCATACAGAGGGAACAAGGTTTGACAAAAGGCTAAACATGTTTCCCTTCCCTTGGCTTTGTCCAAACAGTAAATACAATAGATCATTACCCGTCACAAAGCCGGCTATGAATTTTAAAAGCGTTTCTGTCAGAGCCTTTGCTTTCCAAAGATTCACCAGCGCCTTGCTGCTTCTCTATCTCTAATTTTGGACTCATTCTGGTGGAAGATTCATTGATCAACACCAAAATCAACAGGTAGTTCAGTCACAGCGAGCTTGTAGAAAAAAAAATTAGACACGCCTGAGAAGCAAAAATGGATTCCCACAGCACAAGAGCAATGGGAGAAATATTTGTTCCACAACCGCAGTTCTCACACTTCAACTCCTCAGTCAGTAAAACTTTCACTCCTACAAGCCAGCGAGCGACTTTGCATTACCTTCCGCGAGCGAGGAAACACACAGAGCCCAATTGGCGGCATTACGAAGCAACTTTGACGTCCGCGTGTCGCCGAGAGATGGATGCTGTCGACGAAGAAATGATTACGCGGCTCTGCTATGCACTTGAACTTGACAAACTTCATATACTGCCCGATCTAGGACTAAGCGCTGAGATCGTGGATAGAATGTGAACGAAAAGGTTATTCCTGGCGGGAACTTCACCGCATAACGGTTAAACAAGAAATGCATTCCAATTTCCGGGTGAAATAACGAAGAAGGACACGGCTAAAGTAGAACACGGGCAGGGCGGTTTATCGTGAAGACTCGGAAGATTTTTTCTGGCCACACTAAACAGGCCCAAACTAAAGGAAATATTAAGTTTTTTTCGCGAACAAGTCGCATTTTGTATCTTTTAAAAATATTTACAAAAATGCTCTGTTAAGAAGGTTTATTTGTCTAATAATCATGTGTAGACGCTATATATACATAACCAGCCGGAAATAGTTTATTTCTACTAAACTCTGTAGAAGAATTGCATAATATACAAGGAGTTGTCGTTGGAAATTTCTTGCCTAGTAAAGGCAACAAGCTGATTGAAATTTTTAAAGTAAAGTTTATTGTCACTTTTTTTCTACTGTGACCGAGTAGAGTATTAATACGGCGGCTGTTACGATTTTTCGGCACATAACTGGAAGTTCTTAGCAGTAAGAGAGTTATCTGAATATGGTAGAACTGAAAAGCAAAATGTAGTCATTAGCCTTGTTCGCGTTGCCTTTCCTATCTATATGACACTAACACAGTTCGTTATTTGTATCATACCTGTAACTCGAAGCGCGATATATTAAAAATTTATCGTTGATTGTTGTTTGCACGTGTACTTTACGCTTACCCACTTATCCTGTTAACGCTGGGCGCGAAAAAGATGGGTGTGCCTGTCAGAGGCTCTTTGATGGCCATTGTTTCCCGGAGTTTCCTTTGATTTCGAGGAGATTGCTTTAATTTGAAGGAAACCGAAAATAATGATCTGATCACAAAGGGGAAAATTCAACCGACAGAGGAACCGCACTCAAAAGTGAAATGCGCGGTGCGCTAACCGCAAATGGTAATTATACAAAATCATTGCAAATTTTAAAATGTTATTTTTCCCTCCGTTTTGCTTGACATCGTCGAGTTGCTCTCAAAACGTATAGGGTCTAAATCTTTATTAAAGCTTAATCACGCAGCTACTGACAGCTATGCCCGAGCATTTTGTAGCGAGCGAGTGGCTATTGTAGGTCACTGTGATTTGTCACTGAACACATTCTAGATTTTAAATACAATATAAAATTGTAACAACCTGAGTACACTGCTGGTTCTTTTCGAGTCAGGAAAAAAATTCTAACCAAATTTCACCGTAAAAAGTAAGTGTCAGTCCAGTACTGAAAAAATTGTGAACTTGAGCGACCACGAAAATAAGAAAAAAGACGCGGATCAGTGTCAGTGTTTGAGCATTGACCACCTATCCCTCCCTCTCTTAAACAAACATTAACCTTACATTGTTATCAGTTGACTATTGTTAGGTCAGGGGAGGGAAGGAGAGGGTGCGCAGTTGCTCAGACAGCAACATTGATCCAAAGATGCAGTACACATGCATGAGATCAAGATGGCTGGACATTGGCAACGCAAAAAAAAAAGAAAAAAACGAGGGTAATGTCCAATCATCTCGACCGAAAAAGCTTGGTAACTAAAGGATTTATTAGAAAGCAAAAAGACTTTGATGTAATAAGAATCAAGAATGACTCGTTTGTTTCGAACACAATAAACCCATAAGAGTTGTTTAATGTTTTCTTTGTTCTTCGCTTTCTTCCTACTCCATCGCCGACATTGTGAAAAAATTGCCAACCTTGTAAGTCCATTCAACGCGATCGTTTTCCTGCGCGGGATCAAGGCGAGCGATCTCGAGCGGACAAGTCTTACACGCTCGGGTAGCCAATCAGAACACGGGATTCACCACATTTTCCCCATTGGCGCTGTCGGATGTATACTAAAACACAAGACATGACTGTGTTGCGTGTAATAAAAGGAGGGGATTGGAAGCTGCGGATTGGAAGAAAAACCGACAAGGGTGAGGTAGGCGAGCCGTCTGACTTGGCAAGTAATCCTAGTTTAAGTTTCAGTGATTGACTGAAACCGAGATTTTCTGATACAAGAAGCCTTCTCGTCAGGGAAGGAACGCATTACTGCATGGAAAAAGCAATCTCGTTCTCCAGGAGTAATCATATTACTTGTGACTTGCACTTGCTGTGACTAGTCACACCCAGGTTTCAGCGCGTCCCAGCAAATATTCATAAATTGGCTGTATGGTGGACGTTTCGAGTGTCGAATCTGTGAGAGGAATGTGAACGACGAAATTGAGAATTTCGTAGATTCTTCACCTTTATTTTCATTAGGCGCCCGAAAGATCATCTGTTACTCAGACAAACAACCATCTCATCCCATGAGGTCTGTAAATTGTCATACCTTTCAAAAATTAAGCCATACCGCAACAAAAAAAAAAAGATTCAATTCTGTATAAAATTATGTTCCCTGAACAGATTACAAAATATTTCTGATTAGCTACATCCCCAGGTTCAAGATGGACAGAAACACAACAAGGTCGCGTAATTTCTCGTGACAAAAGCATCACATAACGCTTAGCGCTTCAGGAGAAAAGTTAAAAAAAAAGTCGTTGTTCGAGTCCATTATTCCAGCAGGCTATAATACACCTGTGGTTTCTTTTTGGTTACAAAGCCCTCTGCAGCGTGCGCCACACGCAACATGGTATGTTCATTCCACCAGGAACTCATAATCTGCAAGGCGATCGGAAGGCCTTGATCATCGTAACCAACTGGAAGGGTCATCCCTGGAACACCGGTAAAATTTCCGATTCCCATATACCTGAAACAAACAGACAAACAAAAAAAAAATTCTTCAAGCTAAACTAGAATCTTAAAATGGGACACTACGCGACCTAAACTTATGAGTTCCATGCCAATAAGCCAACTTCCCATTTTGATACTGAATGGCGAATGATTTTGTCTTTAACCCTTTAATTCCCAGATCAAATTTAATATTCTCCTTACTGTCAATCATACAATTCTTATAATATTAGTTCAGAGAACTTAGTATTGGATCAACTAATTATCCCCTAAATTGATATTTTTCTTTATTCATATATCTTGTCCGGTTGGTATTGTATTGATATTGTGGATCAATATCAGTATCTGGGCAACTGCCCACCTACCCCTCCCCTAACCCAACAACTGTCTATCGATAACAAGTTAGGGTCAATGCTGGGTTAGGGGAGGGGTAGGTGGGCAGTTGCCCAGATACTGATAGTGATCCGATATTGTAGGGAGAAATTCTGTCTTGGTCACTCATAGGAGTTAAAGGGTTAACTTGAGAACGTTCTGTAGGAAAATTTTAATTTTTGACATTTACATTTTAGTAGCCGTATTGGTAAAATGATTGTGAATTTAGCGTTTGACATAATCTTTGGTTGACCGGCCTAAAGTAACTACAACCTGTGATTGGTTGAAAAAAAAACCGCGTTGCTCTCTCGACCAATCAGTTATATTGGTTCCACCAATCGTGCCTTAGTGACACGCATTTTCCTACGCTTTATGTCATTAATCCATGTTTACTTTACGTTAGCATTGGCTCCTGCAATTTAGTCTCATACGCAGCAGTCCAATGCGATGTCACTCAGCCCTCCCCACCCCCAAGTTCACGTGACTTGTCACATGCTTTTCCCGCTAATACACCTCACCTCATCATTTGCGTAGTTGTCATGAGGTTTCCTTCACCATATTCTAAAGCATCGTCAGGGATTCTGGGTACTTTCATTCCAAGTCCTGCAACATAGGAGTTTGTCTTAAATTAGAACAAAAAGGATAGCAATAGTAATAATAATAATTATTATTATTATTAATATTACTATTATTATTATTATTATCATTACCTTTATTATTGCTATTACTGGGAACATCAGTTGCAAATCCATCCAACCAAATGTCCGGAAGAGAAAAATCCAATTTCTACTTGTTCATTGATCAGCGATATTCACTCGACTACGGTGTCAGAACATGTCAAGTTCAAACTGTCGGTCTTAACTACTATTGCCAAACTGATGTTTTTACGAATGTGATGTGATGTGATGTGATTACGAATTGGCAGAAATATTTTGAAGCTGCTTTTACCTCTAATTCGTTGGTTGAATTTGGAAATGAATTAAGACAATATGCAACACTCCTAAATTCATTTCGGTAGGGTGCGTGGAGGGTTTGAAAAGTAACACATTAAGATGTTCCAAAATTGGTTTTCTATCAGGTGGCCTGGGATATGGCGTGGTTAGCCTGTGGCATCCACAAGGCAAGAACAGGGAGTAGTGCACACATCTAATCCAGTTGCCTGGATCTTCTTGATTTGAACTTCACCTGGGGTTAAAATACAGTCAACACCATCCTCATCAAAAATCTTTTTCAAGAAAGCCATGGACCTTGTTCGCTGCTTCAGGGCCTGTTAAAATTAGAATAGTTGAGTTTTAAGGTATGTAATAGGTAACCGGAACATAATAAGTAAACGCTTATAGCGGATTAAGACAGATAAAGAGACAGACAGAGACTCAAACTGAAGAGTGACAGTGAGTGGAAAAGACAGTCGAACAGCAAAATGGAAAGAAAAACAAGACGTCTTCTCGGATAGGACGTAAAACCGTAGGCCCCGTCTCCTGCAGGGTTGGGGTAGGAGACGTTAATTTCCCACGCACGAGATTACTGTGTGGTGGATGTCCTCCCCTGGGGTGGGATGGGTGGAAGAGACACTAATTGTAAAGCGCCTTTGATCATATAAATGTTAAAGGGCGCTATAGAAGTAAATAAATTATTAAATTATTAAATTATAACAAGCAAATAGAGTGAAATGTGACAAGAAGATGGACTTTCAGGCGCACGAACGGACAGATAAGTGTCAGACAGACGGACTAGCAGAAAGCATCAGCGGAAAAGAGAAAACAAACAAACAAAATAGCAACAGAGAGATACACAGGAGGCACACAGATGAACGTACAGATAGACAAACTGGAAAAAATGTTAAATAAAACGCACCTGGAAGTAGTGCCGAGCAGTAACAAGTCGCGCCATACCCAAATTAGATGCAGTCTCCGGGTTCTGTGAATCATCAAAGATTCGTTGAAAGTTGAAAACATAGGTTTAAGCTACACCGGGAAGAATTCACACCTATTCGGGTGTTTGGGGATTCCGAAAAACACTTCTCACGACCCCCCTCTTGCCCCAACCTCTCTTTAAAAAACAACAACAGTCGTACTGAGAAAGAAACCGTTTCTCTCTGTTCAAGACTTCAACAGTTCTATTAACTTTTATGAATCCCAATAATTACCAGTTCATTATAATATTTGTCAAACTCTTCCTCCAAACCAGCCGCCATTTCTGAAATGATGCTGATTCCGTGAGCGCTTACCGTCTCCTAAAGGAGGAGATGGACACAAAATTATCAAACTATATCATACATGTTATAACTACGTTTTCATACCTGGCTGATAAAGTATAACTTTGAAAGGCAGAAACACGTGACGATTAAAAAAAACTGAGTAAGTTAGGGGACATTTCTTTGTAATTAATACAAAAATGCTTAGATTTGGTCAAGTAAAAAAATAGGCTTAGTCGTACGTGGGTACACTGTGGCGTATCAGTGGCCAGAACACAGGCCAATATTACTACCACAGGTGAAAACTGGATTGTAAAAAGCCTTCCAACAATAATTCAAACTTACGTGAAATGACTGATAAACAAGGCCTATCAACTGGGCAAGCAAATATCAAAAACAAGAAATCCCAAACCGCTATCAAATTACAAAAAAAGGAAAAACGAAACGGTGGATACCATGTCCGAAAAATTCAATACTTCTTCTAGAGAGTTTAGCTTACAACGAGAGGATTATGGACTACTTTTACTCCGCTTATCAGTTGGTATGTTCTTCATACTGTTCTCTATACTTTTCCTTGGGTGCACACATGAAGAATTTGTTTAACAATCAAGAGCATCTTTAGTTGGTGATCATTTCCTTTATTCTCATGACCTTAATGTGTAATTGAGAGGTTATGTTGTAGTGAGAATTTAGATGCTAGTAGTAACATTAAAGTCTATTTTACAAATTCAGAATGTAATCTGAGGCCAGTACCATCAACTCAGGAATCTGAATTGCCACCACAGACGCCCCTATATCCTCCAGATACTTCACAACTGTTAACCAGAAGAGAAAGTAGCATTAGTCAAAAAAGATCTATTGAAACTACGACAACCAAAACCGGCTGTTAAGTCCCCGTTCGGTTGAATCTCTCCCAAGGGCACATCCTTAGCACAAGAAAGCGTCCCATGAAGAGAGGTGTCCCTCCAGCGAGGGCAACAGATCCAGCGGTTATAGGGACATATTTCCTACGAGTTACAGTCTGGGTTCCTTTAAGGGAGGTGTCTTCTTCTGATGGCACATCAGAGTAGAGGTTTTGGCACATTTCCCAAGGGATTACCAAAGGGGTCCCTAAAGTGGAGCTGTCCCTGAGAATAAAGGTGTCCCAAATTATCAGCTTTATCAAAAAAAATCTTCTAATATAAAACCATAAGACACTGAGCAAAGAAGAGATACATTTACTACCTTTTTCACACTCTTTGTAAACATCTTCATCGCAATCCTAAGAAGCGAAATGAATATCAAGATCAAAGACCTATTTTTTGTAATTTTTATTCACAATAGTGACCATACAATTTTATTCGTCATTCACAAATAGGAAGGTAGTTTATATTACCAGATAAACAAGTTGCATGAACCAGCAGAAGAATCGATCCAAAAATTCACCACAAATGTCTCTTGGTGGTCTGATGTAAACGAGAAAAACCACGATCATGTGATTCATTTTAAGCGTCATGGTCCTTCATCAGAAAGCTTTCTGTTCACAAAAACCCTTCCATGTAAAGAAAGTCTTATCACACTTAAGACAGAGACAGTCGAGGTACAATCTAACCCTCTGAGTTTGATAAGACCTATATAAGTACTTTTTTTTCTGAGAAAAAGTTCAAATTTGTCAACGTAGTTTTGACTCGCAATTAACAAATCAAACACCTGAAGACTAAGAACAGAAGCGCAATTAGAAAGTTTCATAGTATTACAAAATGAAAAGCACATGTGCATTTTGCTAGCCGCGCGTGATCTGACCTCACCAAGGTAAACAAATCCACAAGTCACTTCAGCGTGGACTGCGTGCTGAAAAAATTAAGGTTCCACCTCGGTTAGCTAGTTGTTCTTACAAACTAACCACAGGTGGTTGTTACGACTCTCTTTCTTAAAAGCAACATACCCTAAAGTACTTCCAGTCGATACCAAGTGTTATTCCCTCGAGGGTCGAGATGTTTTCAAATCCTTCCAGAGTCACATCCGGCTGACCAAGGGCTGTAAATGATCACTCACTGTTAGCCATGTGACATTTGAGGCTCGAGAATTTTAAGTATGCACTTCTCGCAAGAACCTAAAGCAAAATCCTGTGATACACAAGAACCTAAAACACAGCAAGCTTTTTTTTAGTGATTTAGTGATTAGAGGCACTTCATTAGAAATCTGGAGGTCTCAAGTTCAGATGCTTCACTTTTCCACTCATGGTTGGATTTCTTTCTTTTCTTGGCAGTTCCCTGTTGAACGCCCATAGGCCAATACGCTCGACTGTAACTGAAATATCATAACCTAGCCCGGTTTAAAGTCTTTGTATAAGTCTAATGACTCCTGAGTGCCGTAGTTGAGCCAGAAATCCTTGAGAGTTTGCCGCTTGGCAATTCTGTCAAGGTACTCTGAAAATTCTTACCTCGGGCATAGACACTTATGTGCTGCACAGTGACCCCAGTCCTACCCGAGAACACAACACAACAACTCTCGCCTGGACTTGAACCTAATCGGGTCAATCACGGAATCCTACTCACTCAACACTCGATCAACAAGTTCCCCCTCCAAATATACATGAACCCAAACAAAACGGGGACGGCCTTCTAATAAGTTTTGGCCCAACCCGAAAACCACTGTAGACAGAAAACAAGTAAACACGGTGAATTCGCCCTTAAGATAGTAAAGATCCGCGCTTCAGACTTACTTTTGGGGTCCTCTTCGTCTTTGCCAGCTAAAAATGCTGAAAATAATTCAAACGTAAAGGTTTGTTTGAACAAACTCAACGCAAACAAAAAGCAGAAAAAATTTTTATAATCATTGTCAGCAGTGTAAATGTGAAAAGTTCGGGAAGACGCCTTATGCAAGATGCACAAAATTTATCACCAAGTCTCGAACATAAAGTACGAAATCATTCCTACTTCCCCCAACTTCATGCAGTTCTACTTACGGGGATTCTTTTCATCTTTGCTGCTCTGGGAATTCGACAGAAAGCGGGGCTTGGTAGTAAAATTGAACAGCGTGACATTAACACAAATAAGGGCTATTAGGAAATTCAAAAGTTAAAAAATTTAATAATTTTAGATCACCTACCATACACCAAGGCTGCATCGCTCACAGTGGCACAAAGAGGTCCTGTTAAAATAAGTTGTAAGGGGATCAAAAAATAAGTTTCTCGTTTGTCACTTCCATTGTACAATCAACATCGGAAAGTGCTGCATCATGGAAAAAACATACTACTACGCGGTGACGTCCACTACGATGAAGAACAACAACCTTTTGACGATGCAAAGGGGATGGGTCGTCGGAATCGATTCCGCCCAAAAGGATTTTTCAAAGCAAAGAGAAGGGGGGGGGGGAAGCTGGGGCTATTCGACCGCCAGTAAGCGTTCGTTTTCGAAGCCGTACGTGCTCCAGCGTCACTGGACGAACATATCCGTCACTAAGGGTACTTCAAGAATAGACAATAGGAAAGGATAGACTATATTTCATCCCCGCTGAAAGAGGCTATCTGTCATTGGAAGTACTTGACTGTAAAAAAACGTGCGTTAACATAACAAGATGAATTGAACTTAACTGTCACTAAGAGCACTTGAGTATTACTAACCATACAATACAATTACCTGAACTATTTACATGTCACTAAAAGTCCTTCATTGATTAAAAGCTAACTTCACCGTTACAACACGTCTTAAACCGTCACTGGACCTACTGCACCGCCACTAAATACACATTACCGTCATCAGACGAATTTAACTGTCACTGGACGTGTTTCAGCAACACTAAGCGTAGTCTGCCGTCACTGAATAAGTTTCTACGGAATACTTCGATACGCCATTGTTTATTGTGTTGCCCAAAGAAGTTCAACTTTTCTTTTTGGGGCTGAAGATCCTCGGAAAGTTTTTGTTCAAATGAAACTCTGTGTCGACTTCTGTTAAAATTCAGATTTGTCAGTTTTATTTAATTCATTTAACAATGAATACCACAACTTACCAACATAACTAACGGTATGTGCCAGGGGAACTTCTCCACTGGTGCTTATGCGGCCACAAGATGCTAGAAAAATAAACAAGTAATGATTATTAAACGCTAAAATAATAAATACGTTTTTCGGAATACCAGATCTACGAGGAGGCTCTCTAACCACACTTCATGGTGGACGTGGTTGATGTTTTGGACACGTTGCGTCCAGGGTCTTGAGTTTGTGTTGGAGCTAATTAAGTATTGACAAAATTCGTTGACGCAACTTAACATCTTTTGTAACAAAACACTTAGACATTTGTGGGGTACAGTGTAACCAATGGTATGAGAAAGACCAATTATTATACTTTTTTTTGCTTTTTTTACGTCTAAAAGCGAGAAACAAAGGCAGATGAATGACAAGCAACAAAACATCACATGACTGCAGGAAAGGAGCACTATTAACACCTTATACAAAAGTTTATTTCACTTAAACTTAAGTTCATAAAAAAAATTAAAGAACGAAAACTTTACATCTTGCTACTTGACTGCCAAACATTGATCACCAATTTGGAAACTTTTGCTGAAATTTCAGTCTCATAAATATTTTTTCCACACGCCATAGCGATCAAATTGATCACAGCTTCGACCGCTGTTTTTATCAGACATATCTACCTAACCTTTTATTCCAACCACTCCACATGCTGCCGCTGGAATACGAATAGAACCTCCACCGTCTGTTCCTAAAGCGATTGGGCACAAGCCTGAATGGATAACAAAGTGCTTATCAAAAATGAATTCCACTGAAAACAACGATAAGCGAGATAAAAAACATTTATAACATAGCGTGCGTGCTTGCCCTATGTAAGCCCTACTGAGCCGCTATGAACAAAATCTTTATTTACGCACGTCCGTGCGTAAATAAGATGACGGGAGCATTTTTGTTCATCGTCACTCTGTTAAAAAAGAATTTGCTCATGCTTTTAGCTGTGCGTGTATCGAGTTATGGATGCACTTGGGAAGTTTGGAGAGCACTCCAAAAGCTAGAGTTGCTCTCGGCTGCGCTTCGAGCTACTCTTACGTATTTTTCGTGCTCTCCAAACTTCCCGCGGGCATCCATAACTCGAAATACGCACGCTAAACATGAACAAATTCTTAATTTCACTCGTTGGTATACCTGCAGCCACTGCCACAGCAGACCCACTTGAACTCCCTCCTGTGTAATGATTCACGTTGTACGGATTTCTTGGAATTCCATGAAGTCTGTTCAAATAGATAAGAACATTGGGATTGGACTCAGAGTCAGTCAGGACAATCTTGATTATCATAAACTAGAAATTCCTCTTTATTAGTATAGGTAATCACATGAGGCCAAGTACTATTAAGGATTAATTGCACGAGAGTTTTCAAAATTTTCCAAAATTGCCCGAGTCGCGAGTGGCGAATTATTGTTTATCAATAAAGGGCAAAATTATGCAACGGATTAGCCAATCATTAACAGGTAATCATGCCCTCTCTTGATTACTAAAAATGCCCTCGATTAAGAAAAAATGCCCTCTCTCTCAACCAATCAGCGCTCAGTAATTTTGCTCTTTATTGATAAGAATGAAAATAAAGGATACTGCAGCATGACATTTCAATGAAAACATAACACTATTATCAAATACAAATAATAAATGGTTAGTGATAGTATATACAGAAATGAAAGAGTGAAAGTAGATTTTCTGGTACTCATATTTCCATACATTTTTTTTATTCCCATATATTTTCAAACTTAATTTTCGTCATCCACCATTTATCATTTGTACAAGAAAAAGGTGATATGTTGTCACAAGAACATCATGTTTTAATATCTCATTGTAAGGCCACCCAAAAGAAATATAAAACAGATAGTTTTGAGATTCATTATAATAAATTGTTTGATTACACATACTATGGTATGGAGTCCAAGATTGTCACCTGTTTGGATTGTTTCCTGTAGTCCCAATTCCCAACTCATGCATGTTAGCTATACCAATAATGATTGCTCCTCCATCTCTCAGCTTCTTAACTATGTGAGCATCTTCTGTTGAAGGTGTCTTCCCCATAAATGTGGTGCCACAACGAGTATAGTATGGCGCCTTGAAACATTTAGTGCAAATCACAATCAATATTCTTATCCAAGTAGTAATTATATCATAATGTTCATGCTCCAACCCCCTAAAACAAAGAAATTGCCATGCAGAAGATACATTTCATTAAGTGAGATATTTTTTAAGGCTTCAGTCATTTTACTGTTGAATTAAATCAGGTGTGGCACTAGGGATCTTATCACCTTATCCCTCTATACACTGTTTGGCTCCAATTTGCTGTTATTTTGCCATAAAATGTAAACATTAAGTAACACCTATTTTTCTTTTTACATGCACAAATGGTATACCTTTCATTCAAAAATGTACTTTATTTACCCAATTTGTTAAGCAACTAATTATTTTGAAGCAAAAGAACTGCTACAGTAACATCTACAAACACAACTCACTTAAATTGCTGAAGAGTGTACCAGTTTTTGTAACATGAAGCAATTAGGAGTATTGATACTCCCTCTTTTCAGGAGACAAGTCTATGGCTGATTGTATTTTGCTAAGTTCCCCAGTAACTTTCTAAAAAACCTTACTAGAGAGATGCACTGTGAAAATAGACAGTCTTGTGAGAAACTTACCACATGATACTCCCCTTTCACAGCCACAGGAATCCCATCCACAAAAGACAATGGATTACCCTCAGCATATCGTTTGGTAGATGCTGCTGCCATCTGATCAAATTCAAATGAAAAAAGGCTTCTGATACACTGATATGTTCAGAACTGCAAAATAACTTGGTATGAGATACTACCTTCAAAATTTCATCTTTGTCATGCTGGACAATGGCTCTCAATTTGGGGTTCTGTTTTTCTGTGTCACTAATGATCTCTATCACTCTTTCTGCTATCTGCATTGGAGTGACTGTGTGTGACCTGTGGCAAGAAAACAAGTTTAACTGCAAGTGTAAATGGGAGTTTGTACCTTATGTAGTCGTTCTAAAATGGTGCTACAAAATTTAAACCAAGCGAATGCAAATTTAAATAATATTCAGTTTACCTGTATTCCTTTATGAGGTTTGGAATGGTTACAAACTTGAAGGAAGATTCTTTTGGTTTTTCAATGCTAATGATTTTAAAGAAACAAAATCAGCCAAAAAAAAAACTTCATATCTATTCATCAAATATTTGGTTTACTTAAGCCAAATGAATATCAAAAAGACTGTGATTGCTTAGCCTGTCAACTTTAAGACTCGAAAAAGCCCCCCCCCCTCCCCTTTCCCCTTAAGGCTATCAACAAATTCCAGAGTTTTTGGATGGGAGCTTATTTAGGAGAGGGGGAGGGTGTGCAGGAACTCCCTGAGAGCTTTATACCAAGTCATAATTAAGGAGAGGTAAGAGGAAAGAGGAAAGAGGAAGCTGATTATAGTCCTGGGCCCAGTTGTATAAAGGGCAGATAACACTATCCAATGAATATATTGCTATCCAGTGGATAAGTGACAGCATAACATATAGTGTTATCCACTGGGTAGAGATTTATCCCACCTTCAAACAACTGGGGCCTAGGGTGCTCTAGCTGGGCTAAGCTGAACCTTTATATAAATTCATTTTATTCCTTGACATGGAAACATTCTTTCATTGAATCCTTTTATTTTAACCAGAAACATATCTTTCATGCATCTGTCTGGCTGGTACCACCACCCTTACAATGTTCAAGAATTGATAACTTTGAAATATAAGAGATTCAAAATGTACAAACATTGACTTTGATCTGCATGTACTATTACTGGTACTGGTAATTAATAAAAGTAAATTATTTATGGTTCGCACCTTTCCTCAATCAATTTGTCAAAGTCAACAGGTTCATAGCTCTTTCTATGTTGATGAGGCTCAGGCAAAGGAAATAATGTTGGAGTATCAGGTATTTTGATTCTTATAAGCAAGTCCAACCCTGCTTTTCTACAAGAGTTAAAAAAAATAGCATTGTCAGTAAAGTCAGTTTAATTTTGTGTTCAGGACTCATCACTTCAGAAAACTCTCTGATTCTTCTCCACACATTACTTATGTTTTAGCTTGGTGTGTATGCATCATTTCTAGCTATTAATAATAAAATCTGAACAGTCATAATTCTTGGACAAAAATTTCATACGAAGAGGGAATCAAAGGAGAGAAACTTTCTACTTTCCCTATATCTGTTGGGTTAATTGTTCACTAAAAAAGGCCAGTAAGGGTTGTAATGCATACCATCAGTCCTGTTATGGCTGAGTTCACTCAATGTTACAGTAAAGGATTTTGATTGCTGTTAGGTTTCACTTAACCGTGTATTACACTGCTATGGGTGATAACTCCAAAGTAATGGCTGCTTCAAAACTTAGGGACAGCCCTGCTGGGCAATCTTCTTTCTAGAGAGTTCATGTGTAGTTAATCTCTTCCTGTCTGTCTGTGTGTCTGCCTGGCTGTCTGTTTGACCTTCTGTCTGATGTTTTGTTTGTCTGTCTATCTCTCTGTCTGTCTAACTCTGTCTGTATCTACCTCAAGCAACGAGCCGTCACAGCACTTATGGTAAGATCTAACAATACAGGACCAACCTATTATCAAGACGTTAAAACCAACACTACACACTTGGTCATTACACACCTAAATGCAATCTTTTTCAAAACATTTCCCAGGCCCTGAAAAATTAATAACATAACTTATCATCACAACTTATTTATAATCATATTAATTTAATGGATAAAATCATTTCTATCAAAATTAGCTTTGTTTACGTACAGTTCTCCCAAGCCATTTACTGAAGAGCAATTGTTTTCCGGCCAACCTAGGAATATTTTTGGCCTGAAAGCAAAACAAAAGAGTTTAAAACTGAATCAAAGTAGTAAGCTGTGTTCAAAAGATGTTTTCATCCAATCACATCTGAGAGGTGTATGGCTCAGTGTTGTTTCCTGGCTTATGCAATTCCATACAACCTAAATGATAAAGTCTTGGATTTGTTAACCCTTCACACTCTAATATTAGAATTCATTTTCTTCACACTCTTCTATATACATTCCCTTTGGTACAGACAAGGAGAAATTAGTTTAGCAATCAAAGCTTCTTAAGTTGCTGATCATGTCCTTTATTCTCATGATCTTAATGAATGATTCAGCAGTATAATTGTCAGGAGAAGTTAGATGCTGGTCACTCAGAGGGGCCCACTTAATTATATATGATGTTACTCATAAATGGCAGTTCTTCCCATGACCAGGGTAAATTGGGGTAGTCTGACTTTGTACCAGTGACTTTATTTATTTCCAGAAAATAAAACAATTCTGCATAATTCATTCTTAATAATAATTAACAACTTACAGTGTGTACCAAATTGTACTCAATTGGCAGATCTGGTTTACCAAGTTGTCTCTCAACAAATACAGGTGGTGGCCATAAAAAGTCATAGAACATCCATAGCAAAAACAATAATCCTACAACTCCTGATAGTATGGCCAACATAATCCTAACCAGTAAAAATGTGTCAAGACCGCCTTGAAAAAAGAGAAAATTTTAATATATCTAGTTAACCCTTTAATTCCCAGAAGTTGTTAAGTTATTAACATAAAACTTCTCCTTACAATATCTGTCATTATTCAGCAATCAGGTAATGAGAATATTAAAACTTATAAGCAGGTAGAAGCTGCTATCTTGATCTAGCACCAAGTTCTCATAGCTAATTTACAAGGAAATGTGTAGCAGCTAGAGGGGAGAATTAACAATCAGATCTTGGAAGTTAAAGGGTTAACAAATAGATTCCATGTTGCTGTGGGTCTGTTCAGACAGTAATAATTAAGGTCACTGATGAACTCAAACTTTTATAAGAACAATGAAGTGGCACATGAAGTGCAGTCAAGTGTGTCACTAATGTTCTAACCACATTTTGACATTTTTTGTCATTTATCAAAAAAACATATTTGTGATGATAAAAAAGGGCAAAATGTTGTTCATGATGCTGTCATCTTAATGAGCCTATCTTCCAATAGATTGTAAGTAAAAACTAATCAAAATGCATGGATAATTTGGCTTATTATATGATTGTTCATGGCCACAATCATCACCCACAGCTTGAAAAATCCATCTTGTCTGAGGTCTGAGATGAAAAGCACTTTAGTAGAACCTGAGCAGGTACTGCTTCTGAGGTTAGGTCGATCCGAAAAAATGACTGTTTTCACACTCCATTTTTCAATTAAAAATAACATTTGCATGTGAAATGCTTGTGAAAAATCAGTAATCCCTTTCACATGGTGGTTTTACACATTTTGTCAAAAAGTTATTGTGGTAAACATTCCTAGAACTTTCTGAATGCAATCAATTTCTGACACATAATGAGAATCTCCCAACAACAGCCTCTTGGACCAAATATATCCTTTACAGGTATCCTCACAGAGAGGAATAACATATTTGAAACAATATATAATATGAAAAAAACACTGATACTAAGAAATGCTGACACAGGTCTATGCCTAAGGAAAGGTGAAGAAATTTGGTCAAATTAAATTGATTTCAGGCTTCAATTTTTCATCCCACAGAAGAGAAAACATGGCCAAACTGAAAAGGGAAGAAAATTTTTGTCCCAAATTAGAAAGCAGGACATCCATAAGGCAACAGCATTTAATCTACCATTATCAAACTAAGGATATAGATCTCTAAAACATCTTCATCCCACAGGATGAAATTTTAGTAAACAAAGCTACCATTGCAACAATGTGATTTGTTTCAATCTTGTAACCTTAAGTGTCTGGAGTGATTGTTTATATGCTGTGGACGTGGGGTGAGGTTCCAGCCTTATCACCCTATTCCTCCCCACCCCCCCCCCTTTTTTTTCTAATTCTCTGGATCCGCCCCTGAATATCCAGCAGTGTTGAAGTTCCAAAGTTGTTATCAAAAGACAGATAGCGATAATGAAGCAATGTCACAACTAAATCAAAAAAAGGAAGGGAAAGAATTGGACTCAAAATCTTATATCAATTGTCTGTTCAATGGCATTGTAGATCTTTAGTGTAATGTGTAATGAAAAAGCCCTAACCTGGAACTAACGTATGGCATCTCTAAAAAAATTCTCAAAAATTTTATTTTCCTTCCCAGCGCCATACAGAACCGGCACATTCTAGTAAAGAACATTAATTCAGAATATGTCCTAATTTTTAAACAAATTCGAACTCAAACTTAGGGAAAACCAGTGCAACAATTTCTGTTTCTCACCCGCCGGTAGCAAAAGGTCACCGACCAAGCCGCTTTCTTCATGTGGTCACATCCAGTTTTGAAAAACGTTATTTCAGAAAACATTGATAATACCTATAAATTCTTTGACAATATAGCTTACCTTGCCTGTCTGATCTTGAGAACTCAAATAGATTTTGTCCCTAATCGCTCTAAACTAGTGATGCTGCGGAAGTTCAAACTCCTGAGGGTTAATCATCAACCATGTCAATCAACCTAGACGAGCATCGACAGAATAAGCAATCAGGTAAATAAGGTTAACAGGAATACAAATGTTTACGGTGGAATCTCACCTTAATCTTAAACTAACTAATTGCACGAAAAAACTTCTGTCCCGAAACTTATTTTTAAGCACAGTGGCCGCGCGCAAAAATAGTAAACAACAAAGTGTACCGAGAGGAGACTGGTAATTGGAGTGTCACTTTCACCTGAACCTCACTATCTCGCACGGTCAGCCGCTTCGCATTCACTTTCCATGTGATTTGTTGTTAAATTTGCGAAACAAGAGAGTGAAGTGTCTGTTGGTCTGTCTGTTAGTAGCTACTACATGATTGTCTGTTCTTGCTTGCCAAACCTGCCTGAAGAATGCCGCATTCTTGGCATCCACTGCAAGTTTTAACGTGTCTAGATCGTTGAATAACTCACGAACTTAACCACTGAATGAAAAACACTTACGCGCCTTTGAACTAATCGTGATTGAAATGTAAACCAAAGTTTTTTTTATTCTAGTGGTTCTTAAAATTCGTGATTTCAAGTCTTCTCTCGAACATGTGTGTTTATGGCTGGATTTTCCATAAGATATAATTAGTGTCTGTTGTAGAAATAATAGTGTGTGTGTTTGGAATTGAGGCTTGTATCTTAACCCTTTTACCCTTATGAGTGACCAAGACAGAATTTCTCCTTACAGCATCAATATGATATCAAGAAGACAAGAGTTGGGAATAAAGAAAAATGTTAATTTGGAGATTTTAAGTTGATCTAATTTAAAATTGTCCAAACTTATATCACAAGGATTGTATTACAAAGAGTAAAGAGGATTACTAAAGAGATCTGGGAGTGAAAGAGTTAAGAGAAAGAACCCAAAATAGGCTGATTAATGGAAAATTATTGATTTTTCTTAAACAAGGCAGAGGATCTAGTCTTGAGTAGATTAGCTTTTCAAACTAAGGCTTGAGTTTAGGATTAATTCTAACCCAGTCTTACCAAGAATGCAATTGCATTCTCCTCCCTTCCTTCAGGAAGTTAGTCAAATCTGACTTACTAGTATCACCCACCCACAGCCAATTTTTTTTGTGAGTATTGCATGTGAGGGAAAGGAGCAAGAACCCCTTACCATCACATTGATTTTTTCTCACTTTCTGCTCTTATTTTGCTCATGCATGGGACAATGATTGAAGAGAAAAATGAAGGTCTGTGAACAGGTGAAATGTGATTCCCTAATTTTTTTAGTGTTGGTACTGTTTGAATAAGAATTGAACCACGAGCCATGTTGATCAGATTTTGTAAAGTAATAATTTGGGTTTAAGTTTTTTCTTCTTTTCTTTTTCTCAAAGCCGATTCTTGGATTTTTTAAAGAAACTAGAGCTCCAAGCATTACTATGACCATTTGAAACCAGAGGCTTGTTTGAAAATATCTCTGTCACCTTGAGCAAGGCTACAGTGACATTAGCAAGATAATTTTGCTTTTTACCAACTGAGATAATAATGTAAAATGGCTATTATAGAGATCAGTTTCAAAGCTGATCTTTCAAGCATTAGCCTTTCAACAAAGTTCTGACAAAAGTCAACTTGAAACTATTTACAATGGTCAATTTACATCATCAACTCAGTCAAAGAAACCAAAATTACCTTGTTATACTCCCCCACGGACACACAACCACAGTTTCTTTCAAAACTGACCCCCTTTCCTGTGACATTTGGTTGTTTTCTCTGAGTAAAAGTAACAGTCAGTGTGATGAGGAGATATTGACAGGAGCCATTGTAATTGTGATTGTAAGATGTTTCATGTTTCAATGCTAGCTTATAAAATTTCCCTGAAATTATTATTTTGCTAGGCTTCTAAGCTGGTTCAGTGTTTACTATTCTGAATAATTTTTATTGCCTTATTTAGTTGGTAACTTTTCCATTCCTTGTATATTTTTAATGCAGGCAAATAAACGATTGGCTTTTGTAGTTCTGAAGCAAAAAGAATGATTGATCAAGGGTGTAGCTGATGAGGTTTTGGAGAGAAAGTGACCACACCCATAATTAAGGAAGAAAGAATAATTTACAATCATGAAAATTCTTGGCAACTCTCCAAATGCTAGCAACACTTTACTGTAAGACCCCATCTAGAAAATTCTTCATTCACCCTTGCAAATTTAACCTTCAATTCAAATAAACGTTATCTTTTTAAAACCTCTTCCTGGGCAGTTTTTTTTTAAAGTACTTTACCTTTTAGAACAAATCATTTAGGTTTTCTGTAACTAAAGTTTTGGTTTTGAGAGTCTGAAGTCTTTGAAGGAAACAGTGTACCACTCTCGTGATTTACCCACCGTCGATCAGAACACGATCGTGTGACTTTTAAAGTGAAATTGAAGAATAAGGATGTTTTAAATATCAATGGTCACGCGAATTCATATACGGGACCTTCGTCCGTATCACTCCATAAGGCTTAGCTGGAGTAAAGTGAAAGTTTATCGCATTTGTATTTATTTTCATTGCAAAACTTTTCTATATGACATTCTTAAACAAAAACACTTCAAAACTTGCGCTGTGCTTTTGATAGGTTTCCAAGCCTTTTTGCTGTTTTTTTCTTTTTTCACTTTATTTTTTTTAGGTTTAATTTCTCCCTAACTTAGCCCAACGAAACAAAATAGAGAATGTGCAATTTCTTTGTTAGCGGCACCTGTTCAGCAAGAGAAAGTTTACTGCGTTACAGTAATTTCGTAAACGTGACTTACAACTCTACTTTTGTTTTCAATTCCACATCTCCGATTACCTCAGTGCCACGGTTTTCTGAATATGACGGCATTTGTGTGCGAAGTTTGAATATTACGTTAACGCAACGCCCTCGAAACCGAAAGCTAGAAAATATCTGTAAAGTCTGTACTCGTCAAATTTTAAGCTTCCCGTAAAAGATAATTTATGCATGTGTTCTTTATGAATGCAGGTCAAAAATAGCCAAAACAAGAGGGATACGAAACAATGATTCACAAAATATTTTGTGCAAATAATCAACATGTCACTTCGATAAACGATTAAATGAATTTTACTTCTCACAAACAAACAAAAAATGGTTTCAGACACTTAATCGACAATGTCATTATATGCACACCGCGCCATCATCAGCATAATTTTAATGATTAAATTTGTTCTGAAATATCATTGTTGTCTGTCTGTGTTTTTCATTTATTAAAACGCTTGATCGTTAGTCTTGTATTTAACAAAGTAAATTCGATATAATACCTAATCTCATAGACTAGCCGTTTGCGTTTTGAGTTACACATATTATGCGCTTATCGAAAAAAAGCAAACAAGATGAAAAATTTGATACAAACCCCTGTTTCGATATACAGGGCCCTTTTAGAGTAGGCCTTTTTTGGGGGGGCCGTTTACATGCAGTAAGACCGCAATGTAGCTTTTCCTCAAATTTTTAACTTTTTGTCGACTGTTCCGTAAGATAACAAAGGAAATTGATTTATTTTCGAATTTTAAACATGTAAGAGGATTTTTCTGGTATAAATACCACGATAAAGTAAAATCATTGGAAAGCACATTGTGAAATACCACGTCAAAAAGCCTGCCATTTATGTGCCGGTATGCTGCGTGCGCATCGTTAGGGGCCCTCATGACGTCACGTCCTCTCTCCTGTCATTCAAACACGTGCTGACTATAGATGGCTGCTAGTGTGTGAAAAGCATTGACCGTCGGCAAGCTGAAAAGGCGGTAATTTTCTACAACGTCAAACTTCGTCAGGCAAGCCCCAGCAACACGTGGAAGTTTACAAACAATCTCAGAGGCTTTAGAATTTTTCTCCAGGGCGGCATGGTATCATAGAAAGTGTTTTGGCGCTGTTGAATGGCGCAAACTGTCCGGGTCCATGCAAGCAACCGTGGAACAAGCGATAGTCGCCTACAACATCCCAATAAGGTGCCTACATCGAACACGGAACACGCTAATCATCATTTTAAATTTCCCTCAACGGGCGGAGATTTCTTCCCCGAAACGAGATACCGCGAGAATGGTTCTGCTAGTGCACTAGTCTCGCAAAATCAAGATATTTTGGAAGAGTTACACGATTATATTCAGGGTACTGAAGATCCGACTGACAACAATAATAAGGCAAATTCCTTGCCCAACAAAATGGCGACGTCGAACTCAAGTGGAACGAACCAACCAACGGCGAACGCTAATGGATTTCAAATGTCCATGAATTCATCTTCGGGACTACCAAACAAGAGCGGACCGCTAGGTTTGGGAATGCCCGCCTCCGTTCATCTAAACAATCAACTTTCGTCAATTCTCGACCCAGGAAGTACCTCGGCAAGCCCGGCCGTGCCGTCTAGAAATCTCAGTGAATCGAACCCTAATCCCGCAAATATGAAACTTCTGGCATCAAATCAACCAAATTTATCACCACAAACCCGGTACAATGAATTCAACTCGAGACAGGAAATGCTATTGCGAGACTATCGCGAAGTTCCCATCGCACCTAGAGCGCCGAACTCAACCGAACAATATGGCTCCCAACAAAGGTTCATGTCTGCGCAGAGTGAAAATCAACATAAAAGAGGGTTAAATTCCCAATCAACAAGCGCTTATCATCCAAATTATTACTCTCAGGAATCGAGCGCGCCTCAAGCTGGGCAAAGAGCGCCCAACTCGCAACCAGATGAGAGAAACATGATCACAAATCAGCATTTTCAGTGGCCGAACAGACTGCAGACGACGAACCATTGTTCGTCAAATTTACCAACAAATACTTCACCCGGCCCGCCGATGAGTCGAGCACAATTGCAGGTAAGAGGGGATTACTACCATACAGAGATTGTTTACATTTTTAGGTATTTTAAGGCGTTCGCCGTTCATTTGTGGGGAGATTGTAGGGGTAACTAGTCGCCCAGTAAAAGCAGACATACGTTTGAAATATTTATCATCAGAATATTCATAATGGCGGACTTGAATTTTGTGCGCGGGCGATCGTATTTCATGAACGGGATAAAAACCGATTCGAAGCGAGCTGTAGCGCTCAGAAGGGAGATAGTTTCGATTCCATAACGTACGAGTTCGAGCCGGCGAAGATATTTTTTGTGTACAGTTTTCTATACAATTTAAACTTGGTTCACCACCTGTGAAATTTATCTACCTGCTCGTCTGATTGGCTGTGAAAGTGTCAATTT